TCTCAAGTAAAAATAGTTTCTTCGACACTATGTTCNGGATGACCTTGGGGACAGAAGAGGATACTGTCATTTGAAGGAGAAAGCTCTAGATCGCATTAAGTGGAGGAATTGTTTTGGAAGAGACTGTGGACCTGTCGTCTTGACAGATTACTGATGATGATGATGATAATATGTTCATATTCAGAATATTAAATAACAAAATTATGAACTTATGGGGGTACGCGGTAGCGTAGTTGGCTGAGGCACAATGCTACAAGCCGGAAGGTCGCGGGATCGAATCCCGATGAGGTGGATTATTTTCAATTTACCTAATCCTTCCAGTCGCATTATGGTCCTGGGGTCGACTCAGCCTCTAACAGAAATGAGTACCAGGAATAATCTTGGGGGTAAAGGGAGGCCGCCGCTTAAGGCTCACAACCTTACCGCCATCTGTGAGCCGATTGTCTAGATAATGTGGGAGCCTCAACGTCTCACAACCCTACGGGCCTCCACGGCCTGTTACAGGGATAGCTTTACTTTTTTTTATGAACTTAGGTCTTAATCAGTTTCATCCTTTTTCATGAACAAGCTGGCTCAGACGGTAATGCTTCTGACTTGTGTTCGGAAAATGCCCGGTTCAAATCTCGACCGGAACACGTCTATCTTGACTAAGGATTTTCTTTCTTTTCCTACGTTTCTCCAGGAGAATGCCAGGATGACATATTTTCATCCGTTATTCACTATCATCCAAATGGATAAATAATAATCCTACAATCATTTTTAATCAACTGAGTGATAAATTAACTCGTATTGGTTACTGGTCGTAATAGTGATATGAAATAGCATGTGACTGAAATCTGTTAAAGAATGTGTTGATGATAAAGCTCTAATATATTGTGACATAACGCCTGAAAGCCAGAATAGCGAAGCCAGAGTTGACATTCATTGCTAGGCAACGACTCAGTAAACAGGTACAGGCGACAGCGAATAAGCAAGCAACAATCAAAGTATTGTTGAGTTATAATGATGAAAACGGTGTTTTGTGTTGGATCCGCGCCGAGGCTATATAACGAGGATCCCACGACAGCCGAGAAAGAGGCCCGTGAGGCGGGTTCGAATACCTCTAACCGTGACCCTGCGAGTCGTAGAAGGCCACGAAAAGGGAAGTCTCAAATTTTATACAGTAATGTATGGTCTCGAGTACCAAGAGTCTCGGACCCGAGAAAGACTGCGCTGGCAAGGACCAGCAGCACATACAAAAGACAGACCCGTATTCTCGTCAGAGAGGGCGCCCACAAAAAACAAGACCGTAACTGTCAAACAGTAATAAAGATCTGGTCGCAAGCCCCAGAGGGGTGCTCTATGCCAAGACAGACTGGCCGACTGACCGTCGGTCGTAAAATGAGAATCAGACTCAGACTCAGCTGAGAAAGAATTGAGGAAGTCTCTTGAGATGGCAGTCGAAGATGATTGAGAAGAGATGGCAGGAAAGGAATTAGGCTGTGCAAAGAAGACTTCATATGTGCTGCAGTTACAGTGAGACTGGTATAATCATTGTGTTCAAATCCGTTGCCAGGATACGACTGGTGAAGACTAAGAACCCTTACGTGTGTGTAACGGTGAACTGTAGAGTGTGTAGATCAGGAGCGCTGTATTACTCATAATTATGAGTAAATAATTCCAAATATCCAATCCAAACCCAATCTAATAGTCAAAAACCTAATACGTTACAATATGTACACATCGCCCGTCATAAATAAACAAATCATTTTTGCAGTCCTCCGACTTGAAATGGCTGTGTACCAGCAGATACAAAATGTAATTTCAAAAAGCATGTTTAATTTGATTAAACTTTGTTGTTAAGCTTAATACGGAAAATGGCGGTAGCAGAGCACGACACCGTTTATCGAGGCAGTTACGGTTTCGGCTCGCTCGTTCGTAAGTTCAAATTCCCTCGTCTGCCCTGCAGATAGAAATAATTCGGTCTAATTGGCCTTGGGAAATAATTCCATAAGACCGGCTACAAGACTATGTGACGCAGTGGCGGCGATATGATGAAGGATAGGGATAAAAACTAAAATCTACAGTGATGCGATTCGGTGTCAAATGAATAACCGACATTTATTTCTTTCGGTTCATTTAACATCCTTGTCAGAAGCTCGAACTATAGCGTCGAGCTGGGAACAACGCGGAAGAAAGTGGTCTAGCCTAATTTAAGGCACTAACCCGTCAATTACCTGGACGGACTGAGGAAAACCATAAAAATCTCAGTCACGAAGTCCGATATGTGACCATCAGGATACGAATCAGGATTACTACAACTAAACTGCAATGTTCAGTGCAAACGAAATTAAATATAATATTTCGGGATGTGTAAAATAATTGTAAATACTGGTACCTGTGATTAAATCGAACGCCTCCAAACCAATACATAACGAACTTCACGGAGCTGAGCCCTTATTTAGAAGCTGCCAGTTGAGGCGCTACTCAAAAATTTCCCTAAATTTTATGGAACCCGAATATTCATTGCGCTGTCCACAAGAGCCCCTCCACTGGTCCCTATCCTGAGCTAGATCAGTCCACTCCATACCACCCCATTCTATATCTCTAAGATCCATCTTAATATTATCCACCCACATATGGCTAAATCTTCATAACAGTCTCTTTCCTTCTGGCTCTCCCACCAAAAACCTATATGCATTCCTCTTCTCCCAATCCCCTTGATTTGATCTTTCTGATTATACTTGGCGAATAGTGTAAGTTATGAAGCTCCTCATTATGGAGTTTTCAACAACTCCCAATCACTTCATCCCTCTTCCATCCAAATATTCTCCTCAGCACCCTGTTCTCAAAGAGACTCAGTCCAAGTTACTCCCTTAATGTCAGAGACATAGTTTCACATTCATACAAAACCACAGGCAAAATTATAGTTGTGTTTATTCTAATTTTTATGTTTCTAGACAACAGACGAGAAGACAAAAGGTTCTGTACTTAATGGCAGCAAGCATTACCCGAATTCAGTCTCCCCTTATATTCCTCCTGCATCAAATTTAATTTATAATTGTAATTTGTATTTCTCAACGCGCCGTTTTTCTCTAGTGCCTTGAAATACAGGAAAAACTCCTTAATTAAACCCCATCGGATTCGCGGTTTACTACATCGAACAATGTCCTTGAGACGCTAATAGACTCTCAAGTAGTCAATAAATTCCCACCCTTTTATGGTACCAGAAGGTTCATCAGTGTCCACAACAATCCGCTATTAGACCATGCCCTAAGCCAGATGAATGCAGCCCCATAATCACACCCTACTTCTTTAACATCCTTTTCATTACTGTCCCCCATCTAGGACTAAAATTATGTATGCATTTCTCATCTCTCATGCTTGTGGCGATCACTTGTTAATAGCTCGTGAAGAGTAAAAATGACAAACATTTTCATTATTTATTTTCTCCAACCTCTTGTTACTTCCTCCCTCGGCTCTCTGTTCTCACACATGATTGGCGGATTTTACACATTGCCTCCAATAGCCTAGCGAAAGAAATCGCTATGTAGAAGTGCAGAAAAATAAACATAGGGCTAGTTTATGGATAATGCACCAACTACCAGGCAAAAGGAAAATCTGCTTAATTATGGATTTTCTCGGCATATAAGTAGCAGCCTAATTTACGACGATAATCTGCATATAGTTTCATGGTCTGTGATTGAACATATAATTATCCCATAATGTAATAACGCTGTTCTTCTAATTGACAAACTAATGTAGTACCGATGTGTCATTTATGTCATAATGGAAACTACTTCGGAAACAGAGTGCTGGAAGTTACATCTGGTTTGCTGAAAGTTAAATTTTACCATGATAATGACAGTACCTGCACTAATAGCACACACTGAAAGCCTGTGTGAGATATGATACATTACATTACTCGAGCAGAATCGTTACGGTGTAACATGAGCAATGCCAGGGCGAGGACACAGGTTTCCATGACGGGACGCCCATAAAATTTCCGTACAAATTCACATTGAAACCTATACTATTCTTCCTGGTCGTTCTACAACGTTCATGATATAATTTTTTTTCAAATAATTTTAATATTTATTAATATCTGATATATTTCATTCCTCTTTCGATTGTTTTTTTTTTATCATGGGGAGAAAACTCCGGTTTTGTCACTCCTCTCACTGCGGGCACCCATGTGCTATAGTTACTATCCATGCAGTTTCGAAACAAATAATGCCATTAAACCATTTATGAAGCATGCATTATCTCTATCCGCATAAGAAATCAACGGGCTATCCAATAGTGATCTACCGGAGGGAGACAGGTGTTTCATCGCCTTTCGATGCTCCATCGATGCCTGAACATTCTGGTTGGCCTCAAAAACTAGTTTGTGAGATCACAACTAAATAGGGAATACCATTACATCAAGCACGACTTCTTCTTTTTTCTCTCTGAACACGAGACTTATTGGCTGTAAAACAGTCACACAAGTATGGCTCCAAAATTGAATGCAACAAATAATGTTTCGTAAAAAAAAAAAAAAAGCATGACGGAAATGGGAAAAATGTACACATTTGATGAATTAAAGTACAATAAATGTCAAACTGTTGAGATTTTGAGGATAAATAGAAACGACAATAATATCTTTTAATACTGACAACCACCTGCTAAATCAAATCCTATTCGAACTATTGATTTGAAAGATGACACTTCCGAAACCCACTCACAGCATAAACGACAGGTATGTATATAATAGAACATGCACAAAAAATACCCAGCTCAAGACATAGAAGAACAAAAAAGCGTTACTGCATTTTCTTAATTATATGTCTATAAAACTAAACGGAATTCTCTGCTTGACTTTCGTGACCCCCTGCCACCCCCGCCAAAAAAATCCCGTAGCCGAAGTTGGAGCGTCGTCTGCTTTAGGCACTGGCACAGGGCCAAGCAGGTGAAGGGACATGTAGTTTTTAAGCATATGTTAAATACAACAAGAATATAAATCTATTGCATTCACTTACTTTCCTAGTTCTTCCTTGAGCTCATAATTATCACTGAAACGAGTACAAGCTGCTGGAGCAGCCATACCGAAAACTACAATATTTACTTCACGACTGAAAACGAACCACTACGCTAGACAACTGAGCGTTCCAACATAATCGATAATACTACGTTGAAAATGAGAATAGTTACTCTTCTTAGAGATCCAAAGATGTAAGTAATAAATATTGATTACTCTTCTGAAAATAGGATTTTAACAACAAACTCCTATTATTTCGCTTCATATTCGATGGATATAGTATTTACCTTGATGTTAGTAGTGACACCGCCAATAGTACCAACAATTGAAAAAATTCACTATATGTTCAATTTCTTTCCCCCTCGCTTCTTCATAGATGCAGTTAGGTCTGCCAACATTGCAAGATTTGAAAGGAAACAATAATAATGCAATACTAATTTCTTGATCGCCATAATGAAAGTACTCTGAAAAAAGTCGATACAAATTTGTGTCTTGGAACAAGGGCCTAATGATAACTTTGTCAGCGATCAGAATTGTAAATTTCATTTAGTGTCTACCTTCTAGGATGTAATAATCTGTTGAAAGTCAATCGACGTTTCACAGGAACATGTCTCCTACATCTTCAGTGCCATAGAATGAAGCCACGCAAGAACCCAGAATGAAGCAGGTTGCAATCGGAGCAGACCGCACTACCTGCTTAATGCTGGTTTCTGCACTGAACGTCATATCTGTAAAATTAATATATGGAACAGTGATTGTTGTTACTTCATCTGATGAAGCTTTTCTCCTTTCTGAGGGATACTTCTCCTTTGGGGACATGAAAACATTAACATCTGCAGAAGAGTAACATTATTATAAAGGAATATAGACAAGAGAGTGTCAATAAGAATTTCAAGGAACCTGGACACATTCATAAGAATAAAAGTTAGCCGACACAATGGTCAGAAGAGAGGAAAATCAATGATGAGAACAATACAAGAATATGAAATATTTACACATTTTATCAAGTTACAAAACAAATATTATATAACAGAGAGATCCAAAAGTAATTTGAAAACAACACTCTATGAAGTATATTTTAAACTGATAATAACATATCATGGCTTCATAACTTGTACTTTTCTCCAGGTGTAATTAGAATGATAAGTCAAGGAGGATGAGGTGGGCAGGTCATGTAGCACGAATGGGGGAGACGAGGAATGCGTATAGGATATTGGTGGGAAAGCTAGAAGGAAAGAGACCACAGGGAAGACCAAAGCGTAGGTGGGTGGACAATATTAGAATGGATCTTAGAGGGCTAGAATGGGATGGTATGGATTGGATAGATGTGGCTGAGGATAGGGACCAGTGGAGGGCTCTTGTGAACATGGTAATGAACTTTCAGGTTCCATAAAATGCTGGGAAATTCTTGAGCAGCTGCAGAATTGGCGGCTCCTCCAGAACGGCCCAGCTCCATGAGTAAGTAAGTAATAACATATCATGTGAACACATGGAGAAAGAGGAACAAAAGCAAAATTTAAGAAATGGATATGAGTTTCCTTTCAAACACTGAAGGAAAAATAAATAGGTGTATAATCATAAATTATATTTTTGTGGGCAAGTTGGAATTAAAAATTTCTTAAAAACTCAGAAGAGAAAAAATGCAATGGTTTTGACATGTAAAAAAATAAAGGCTAGATCAAGGATCTCAAAAAGACATTAGATTGAAAATGTAAACAGAAGATAAAGTTGGTGTGTCCCATTAGCTATTTCAGCCAGGTAAATATAAATGATTATAAGCTTTTGCACGTTGATCGTATAAAATGGAAATGGTGCTAAGAGAAAGATTTTTATATACTTAATATGGTTTCAATGTTAAATTTTCTTTTGATATTCACCTGCAGATAATTTATTTTTATGATTTATGAACTATGTTCTCTTTTGCAATGTCTTTTGATAACTCTATGTCCAAGGTAAAAAATTAAATCAGTTGTAGAAAAGCCGTAAAAACACAATTATTCCACTTTCTGTCAGAGCTGGAACAGCATAACATCATCATCATCATCATCATCATTTTCTGTGTCTTCTTCCTCACCCTCCTCTATGAAGGATTGCTTGTTCCAGCTTCTCCAACGTTCTCTCATTAACTCTAGATCATTCTCCAGTTCAATGATAATTATGGACTTCTTTTATCAGTCTTCCATCTTCCATTCTTGGCATAGGATAATTTTATTTTCTGTATTCATCTACTTTTTATTTATCATATCTATGTTCAATTCTTTTATAATTTCTTGAATTTTATCTTCTGAATCAGTGTATGTCTTTTAACAGATCTCACTAATTTCATCACTGAAGTTTCAAGTTTATCTTTCCCTGTTAGCGCCCATTTATATTTCTACCCAATCTAAAAATGCAGATATTCATAAAACTTCATAATTTTTAAATCATGTCTCTCATCTAATTTTTCCCTGCAGTGTTCTTTGCATTGGTCTACAATTTAATACTATCATAATCTGTATATATAGAACCCCTAGTAGCAATAGCAACATATTTATAAAAAACTTAGACACAATACTTAGCAATCTGACCAATAAAGGAAAGAATATTATTATAGCAGGAGGTCTCAATGTTGATTTTCTAGAAAGAAGTGTTAATCCACAACTACAGACAATGCTAGACTCATATGGCTTGCAAGCAATAGTTGATGTCCCAACAAGAATAGGACCTAAAAGCCAAACAGCCATACACCAAATAATACTAAACAAGGCCTTATGGGAATACAACTTTAAAGCGGTGGAAACAGGGCTCTCTGACCATAATGCCCTAATACTACAAGTACAAATGCATTATAAGAACAAAAAAGGACAAGGTAGAATAACTAAAGAGTTCAGAGTAGCTAGATCTTATAGTGAGCAAAACATACAATATCTAAACTATTTACTAGGAAAAGAGACCTGGGAGTCTGTTCTTAAACAAAATGAGGCAAATGATGCATACAATGAATTTTTAGGGATCCTTCAGTACTATCACAATACAGCTATGCCTAAAAAATGGGTAAAAATTAAGCAGCAAAAAAAATGGATTACCTTAGGCATAAGGGTATCAGGAAACAGAGTTGGACTCTTCATAGCTTAATTAAAGAAGGAAACACATCTGAAGAACTTAAAAAATACTATAACCAGTACAAAAAAATATACAACAAAATTATCAGTGAGGCTAAAAGATTAAGCAACAGCATGCGAATACAATCATCCGGGAACAAATCAAAAGCCATGTGGGATTTAATCAAAGAAGAATTAGGCAGACAGCAAAAAGTTCCAAAGAACATTGAATTAGGAGTGAATGGAACAACTATACAAGATCCAAAAGTTATAGCCAATGTTTTTAATGAATACTATATTAACATTGCCCAGCACATCCGGAGTAATAATTGGACAGCACAAAACAATGAAGACAGGATCAACACAATAAAATACAACAGCAATAGCATGTTCCTAACCCCAACCACTGAAAGGGAGGTTGTAGACATAATCAAAACACTGGGTAACCAAAAATCAACGGGCATTGATGATATTTCAGAGTTCATTATTAAAAAATGTCATCCTCAACTAGTAAGTGCTCTAACATACATTATAAATCTGTAATTTTCATCTGGTTATTTCCCCAACCAACTAAAAATATCAAAAGTGAAACCCTTGTATAAGAAAGGTTGCACTGCAGATGTTGGGAACTACAGGCCAGTGTCATTAATTTCAGTTTTTTCTAAAATAATCGAAAAACTTATGCACAATAGACTTCTATCATTCATAAATAAGTACAGCATAATCAGCAATAAACAGCATGGATTCTGCAAAGGAAAATCAACATATACAGCAATCACAGAATTTACAAAAAGGGTTTACAAAGCACTAGATGAAAAAGAAATGAGTATAGGGATATTTTTGGATTTATCAAAAGTGTTCGACCTAGTAGATCATGATATATTGCTAAGTAAGATGGAAAGAATGGGAATACGAGGGGTTACACTAAGGTGGTTCCAAATATACTTAGAAAACAGAGAACAAGCGGTAGAAATTACATACAGATGCAAAAAACTAATCGTAACATTAATTACCTATCCCGAAAGAGACCCATCAGCTATGGCGTCCCACAAGGTTCCGTTCTGGGACCAGTGTTGTTTCTGTTATACATAAATTACCTGGAGACCAGCATAGAACATGGGAAACCTACGTTCTTTGCCGATGATACTAGCATTTTTATAGCAGGAAATAGTGCTAACGAAATTCAAAGGAAAACAAATGAAACAATAAACAAAATCACAGAGTGGTTTGAGAGGAATTGATTAACTATTAATAAAGAGAAAACAATAGCAATAGCCTTCCATCATCCTCAAAAACTACAACTTGAATGCCCTCCAATAAAGATTTATGACACTGTTATCAACTACACAGATCACTCAAAATTTCTGGGAGTCTGGCTAGATAAGCATCTAAGATGGACTATTCATATGCAAAAGCTAGCAAACAACTTATGTAAAGTATGTTTTGGCCTAAGGGTAGTTAGAAGAGTAACTGGACTAGAGACTGTCCGCACGTTATATTATGCTCATTTCCAATCTTTGTTATCATACGGACTGATATTTTGGGGCAACTCGGTAAATGCAAGATTGATCTTTAAACCACAGAAGAGAGCTATAAGACCTATGACCCAGGTCCCAAAAACGACTAGTTGTAAACAAATTTTCAATTCATTACATATATTACCTCTACCATCTTTGTACATATACGAAACTCTAATACACATAAAATCCAATTCGAATGATTTCACAACCAACTCAGGATTACACTCATACAACACAAGGAAAAAAGATGACTTGCACATCGTCCCATGTAATACAAGTCTATGCAAGAACAACTTTAACAATGTAGGACTTTGACTGCTAAATCATCTGCCACAATATATTAAAGAAATACCGGTACTATATAAGTTCAAAAACGCTCTGAAAACTTACCTACTCGATCATTGTTTTTATAAAGTGGATGAGTTTCTCTCATGTGAGACAAACACTAATCAATTATAATCACATAATTCATTAATAATCAGTTTTGGGAATCCTTACTGCACAGTTTTCCTTTCTTTCTTCCAGCAACCAAGATAACACAGTCAGAGATGCACCTGAAGATGCACTCAGGAGAGATTGCAGATGAGAAGAAGCTGCACCAGGAAGGGAGAACAGATGCAATGAGATATTGCAGTGTAGAGTCTACAGTGAAACGCTATACCAGTGCTATCACCAAATTCACCAATATTATCTCAAAGGCCGCGCCATAGCTTAATGGTTAGTCACTGGCTTCCTACCGCTGCGGTATAGTCAAGTGGGATTTGTGATGGACAAAGTGGCGTTGGGGCAGATTTTCCCCGAGTACTTCGGTTTCCCCTGCCAATCCTCATTCCATCAAATTCTCCATAAGCATTATCACCAGTACAGGTACAATAGGACATATGGAGGCCAATGTGCCGAGGGGACCTAATATGGATTACCTCACACTATATGAAATCTTAACTAGGGTAATCTATTGTAAACAATTTTAAGTATTGTGGCTTTATTCTCTTATTCTAATCAGCCAATGTATAGTATCTGACTTGTCCTATATCATGTAACAATGATCTATAGAGACAAAATAAATAAATATATATATATATATATATTGCTTATGATTGTAACAAATGTTGGTAGTATGCTTGTAACTTTGTAGATTTTGTTTTGTTAACTTGTATTGCTAAATGACTTGTCCAAGTGTTACTATGTAGCAAAACGGATGAAAATAAAATACAATACAATACAATACAAAGTGCAAAACCAATGTAATTTATTATTGATATCTTTATTGCAGCTGTGCCTTATGTCACTTCCCAAGTAAATTAAATATATTTATTTATGTATGTGTATTAGGTTAACAAAAGAAAATGATATTCTAATCTTTCCTCAAAGACAACCATGCCACTGGATACGAAGGAACTGTCACAAAAAGTGGTATAACAAAATTTGTACAGATCATCTCAATGCTTAGAAACAAAATTTGCCAATATTCAATATTTTTGGAACTTTACAGAAGCAAATTCCATGACAATTCAAGGAAAGATTATTGGTTTACTTTATTTTACATCTTTCCGTTACCTCACAAATTCCATGATTATCAGAGTGTACAATATCTATACAAAATCGGCAATGATGTAAGAAATATGACACACTGATTCCAGGTGATATATTAAGTAACAAAACACCAGGGTTCCCTTAATAGCATGTTACATGATATAACAACCATATGGCTAAGCCTATGAAGTCCAACAAGTCAGATTTGTACAGGTGCTATTTGTTACTGAGTCCATAAGTCAGACTTGGTACTGTCACATATCCGGGTAAGGCAGCAAGTAATTAATGGGTTCTGGATTAGATGAAGCGATTTATTGGAGAAATTCCATCAAATTACTTCAACTACAAGACATGAAACAAGGTCTTCAACATTTGCTTGCTGGAACAATATCTGCCTCTTGAAAGCACACTAGTTCACTTCTGCCTTCTTCCTCTAACATCTGTGTCTGCTCTGTTTTACTCTGTTCTGCTCTGCTGTGCTCTGTTCTGTGCTGTTCTTCCATCTGCTCAGTCTGTTATATTCAACATCAGACGGTCTAGAAGACACCTTGTTCAAGGGTTCTGTTTTGCGTTTTTGATGCAACAGCAGCTAGCATGGGAACTGAAGTACCGTATTTACGCATGTATAGGACACACATTTTTTGCCAAAAATTCAAGAGGAAAACTGGGGTGCGGCTTATATTCGAAATATTCGAAATCACACTTCATTTAATCATATTCATTTCGGAATAATTTCTACTCCTGAAATAATATTCCAAGAAAATTATTTTTTCTATAATTTCTGTCTGAAAATTGTGCTGCGGCCTATACACGCACGCGGCCTATACATGCGTAAATACGGTAGTTCTGGTTTTCATTTTCATGGTAATGGTCTGCCTATGTACACACTATCATGTGAATGTGTTTAATTGTCACCCAGACAATAATTCATTTACTGCTTTTATTGTAGCAGAAACGTGACTACCGAGCTGTTGTCTATCAACGGACGCCCCCTTTGACTCCTGATATTTCAGCTTTTAGGCAGCATGTCACACTATTATAACACAATCAGTCAGCAGCTTTTGACAAAATGGTAGTTCACCTGAAGTAAAAAGTGACTTTCAATAGAATATGGTGCATAAGATGTCTGTTTCACAATATAAAGTCCTCCCATCCTTAATACCGCCATGTGATACAGCTTAACAGACCAATTCATAACAGATAAATATCCTATCTGTAGCACAGAAAATATCATTACCCAATTTCAGAACTGGAAGGCATAACTATGACATTTTGTGTAGAGGAAATAAGACTATCAAAATGTAAGTTACATTAATTTATTTATAATGTCTTCTATTTATTAACTAATAGTCAGGAATGACTAATATATTCAAGTCAACGTAAACACTTTAGCCACATATGTATCACCCAAAGGACTAATCCTTATCATAACAGAAGGAAAATAAATGAAAATAAGTTATTTAGACAAACATTTATTAACACAATCTCTCATTGGAATGCATTTAAAAATGAAACACTTTTAAATTTCATTTTAGTGTCAAGCAATGAGGAAATATACCATAATCCAAACAAAATGAGTTTTATATATATATATATATGTTGCAAATTAATGAGTTATGTTGATGAAGCCCTTGGCAGAAAATTACCTTAAAATACCTAAGTACATTGTTCACCTGTTACAAAATATATCTCATATGCCACATGTGATTGGAATATTCTTCTATATTTATATTTCATGGAAAATATTAATATAGACAAATATCTATCAACTAACATGATAAATAATCTTTCAATATTAACTAAGATATTTTAAAATTAACATCCAAAATGCTATACATTGATCACTGAATAAATCTGAAATATAAACGCTGATTTTTAAATTGATTGATCCCTTAACATACTCGTATTTACTGCGTGTTAATTCTAAGATACTTAATGACCATCTATTCATTGCATCCAAGTCATAATAGCATACAATAAAATACCATATTTCATCCATCTACCTGCCACATATAAATGCATGCACATATTTAACTACACACACACCCAACATGCTCACTATATTGATATTCCATCACAGAATGAATATTATAATTAAACAAAATGAAACTTTCACCTGGCATAGGCCATTAAACCAAAATTTAGATGACCTAAGGATCTAATCCATTAGTCAGCTAATAAAGTTGCAATAATTTGGATGACAATGGAATTAATCACTGCAAATTGCATGTACTGCCATCTTGAACTTGAAAAGTAGAGGAATGGATTTAAAAGAATAAATAATAGCTCAGTAATGTAAAGAGACACAGGAGCTGAGGGAACAGTCAGTGTAAACACAGACAAAGTAGACATCCATACCATTATACTAAAGCAGGAGAATATGTACCATAAAAGAATAGCCAGTCTAAGTAGGCCACTTACCCAAGTGCTCTCAGCATAGAAATTCTGAAAATTTGGCAATTCACAGTTTCAATATATTTTTTAGAATTGACTTTAAAAGTTCTCTTTTATTATTTATATTAAAAAATAATATAGTCTAGAGAGTAGACTAAATTTAACAATTTGTAATGGATGTCAAAACAGATGAAGTATGTTATCAGATGTCAAAAAGAGATGTTTTCTTCATTGTTGAATCAGCTGCTTCAATATACTACCACTGCTGTTACTCTACAGTTACAGACTTTGCCAAGTTCCTTGGACAATCCACATTGCATCCTTTGAGTACAGCAATATGATAAGAAAGAAGCTGCATTGGGATAACAGTCAGAATACCCTATAACAGAGAAGGTCATTAGTAATTAAACTTCCACACCAGTGAAGTGCTTTACATTGTGGACATGGCAACTTTCAAAGTACAAGCTTCTCTAGAATTTCCTACAGCATTTCTTACTATTTCCAACAGAAATATTTCTAGCTTTATTATGAAATATGTAGCACACTGAAGAATATGGTGATGGGGGTGGGGGGCAGGGGTCATAAGAGCAGGTGTTGAAAAGACAAATGTGGAAAACATCCAGTGGTCTTAATAACATTCCTTGCTCAGAAGAGATGAAAAACCATTTCATAAACTGGCCACCCTGAAGTAAATGCTGCTACTGGATGATGATGAGAATGATGGCTACCAGTAAAAAGATACAGTTTAATGCATGCTTAGGCCCATATGTAGGGTGTTGCCCACATTTCCAAAGCATAAGGTTCTGTTTGTTTTGAATTAAACTGCTAATTGAATTGGGTACCTTCTGAATAAGAGATTTATTACCCCCAAGGTCACGAATTCCTTGGAAGAGAAGTGTTTTACATCACATATGTTGTATTTCATATAATGAGCCCTTTTTAGAAACTTTATAAAAATTAATTTAATAGCAAATAATGATATACGGATATTGCAAGGTATACACATTTTTGTTTTAATCATTACTTTTTATAACAGCCATACAGTATTACATACAACAAGTCTTCTTCAACCATTATTATAGTGAAGGACAAAGAATTTGAAGTCAGAACTTCAATGACTCACCTGAAGACAGTCTACAGTATGTGGAACCTCGAGGGATCTAGATGCAAAACTTTGGGTCTCTCTGTCTCCTTTCTCACATATGATAATGGGTCTTCCCTCACGTGCAGTTACTTGCTGCAGAGCAATCATACATTTCTGTAAATATAAAAACAAAACAATCAAGCTCAAGAGTGAAATGTTATCTACCGAATTAAAGGGTATTAGTTACCATGCCATACATCAGAATTATTCTTTTTCTTATTTTTATTTATTTATTTATTTATTTATTTATTTAGAGAATACAGCCCATTCTGATTTCATGATCTGCCTATTCTTTTCCTTGATGTTCAAAATTTATTCATCTTCTGGGTCTACATTTTGTAATGCACAATCAAGTATCCTACTGTCATCCTTTTGCTGCACAGTTTTCATTCATTTTTTTTTAATTTGATATTTATTTTAAGAAGAATATTTGTTTCCTCTCTCTACATGAAAATGTTATCCTTCCTTGTACAGTTTTCCATTTTACACAGGAGCATCATATCAACAGCCTACAGTCTGCTATGTCCTCTAGTTCTGTAACCCAGTTTTCACTAGTATGTTTATGCCTGAAGTAGTGATTAATTTGTAGAATTGTATTTTGTATCCTTTAAATTTTCCCCCCTCATGTCTCAGAGTTTTGTAACAAGACCTGTCCATAATCAATAAAATTTTAACATTTTTTAAAATATTGTGGCTTAGTATATTGAAAGCTTTCTATTAATTTGATACACCAACATCAGCATAGAAATTATAAACGTGTGTTAAATACCATGGTTGTAGTACTTGTAGCCTACATGAAAATTTATCTAGGAATATGATACTCACAACATAAACAGGATCCCTTGTAACAATCATAATGACAGGCATATTATTATCAACAAGTGCAAGAGGCCCATGTTTCAATTCCCCAGCCATGATACCTTCACTGTGCATGTATGTCAGTTCTTTTACTTTCTGCAAATAAAGAAAACATTACTTGTTACAACTGCAGCTCATAATTACACTGAATGCTACTGACATTTTGAGATTCCACTGCAGAATCTTTTAGGGCAGAATAACTTGCAGAGTTTGGGCACAAATTTTCTGTCCTCAAAAGTTTAAGTCAGTAGGATTTCAATTTTGCCCATCATCACGGTATGGCACATCCTAAGACTGCAGACAGAGGACAGAGTTTCCAGATATGGGGGGAGAAGTAAATATATTGAATAAACTGGCATGGCTAGTCAGCAAGGGGTGGTCCTTAAGCTTGGAGGTTAAGAAGGATGCTAACAATCATACTATAAAATCTTGCATGTTGCAAGGCCTTGAAATCCCATAAAATGCAAGATATATCTTGACCAGCTGAGTAACTACCAACTTCTCAAGAAGGAGTCAGCTTCTGTAAGTACATTAGTTTCTATTCATTTTTTCAGCAGACATTGTCACAGAACTGTCCAGAATTAATGACCTATCAGAAATTAAGAATCCTACAGGCAACAGGAAGTGCTACATAAAAATAAAAATGGTTCATTACATTCTCTTGTAAACTCACTGACTACATAAAATTGGCATGATATAAAAACGCAGGTTGGAATAATAGTAATAATTAAATAATACAAATAATGAAATAGTATAGCTTTGGAGTGGGGGAGGCCCAGACAGGGAAAGTATGAAAATAACAGACTCAAGAAGGGCATTCATGGGAGGATAGAGAAGTAAGAAAGCTTTGAAAAAGAACCTACTATGCTGAGCATGTTGATGGATAGTGACAGTGATGACAATTATGATAGGGTTCCCAAAAATAAAATGAGTTCTGTAACTGTATATTTACAAAACTGGACTAAATGACATAAACAAAATAATGGAGGACAAATTATTCATGGACCATAAAATGTGTGTGAATGACCTGGAAGCAATGACAGTAAAATCTGCTGGAAAATATAAGAATTCCTCTACTTTTCTTGGTGGTGATATTTACAAAATGCTGCCACTTGGCTGTATTTCCTTTCTAGCTATTTAACTTTTAAAGATATTCTCCAATAATTATCACGTGATGGACATGTACTTACAAGCGCTCCTTCCATACAGGTTGCATAATTATAGCCCCTTCCCATGATAAGCAATGATTTGTGTTGGTACAAGTCTTTGGCTAGTTCTTCAACTTTCTCATCAAGCTTCAGAACCTCTCTAATCTGCTCATCCAGATGCTGGAGTCCCTTGATAATCTGAAAGGATTAAAGTTACAGAATGATAACACATGAATTATTGAACTGAGATGTTCCTGACAAAACTGACATAACCATATGGTAATAATAACACTAAAATATTATAATACTGGAGTAACTCAAACACACGTTATCCTTCTACTGGATGAACAAGTACAATTTTCAATTTGAATCATCCAGAAAGAAATTTCTATCCTCACATTTATAAGGCATAAACAGTAATTTCTACTGACTATACATAGCAGCGTGAACGGAGTTCATGGAGGTAGGCCTAGGCCCACTGGGGCTGTAGTGCCAAGGGGGGGTGGAAATACATAGCAGCATCATATGCACTCAGCTATACATACAGATACAACTATTTCATTTCTGAATATTTGCAAGTTGTGTCATGGCCTATCAATTGTGCCAGGCCTGGAAAAATTTCTAATAAATCTAGAAGCCCCAACCAAAAACTGGAAGCCAAATTAAAAGAAAGAAACATCTCAAGTGATAAATTTGTTCATCAATATTTCTGGCAGGTAAAAGGTAAAGTTGTCCCTGTGCTTAACTAATTAAGCACTATGCCATGAAGGCCCATGGGGGAGTGGATGTATAGATCCACATTTTCTTGACCTTGGCACTAGCTGGAGGTGAGTGGTCAGCTTCACCCCCCGCCCGCCGGTACCCATTGGATAGGAAGCTGGGTGGGCCCCAGAGCTGGTCTGGACAATATGGAGAAGAGAAAACTCTGACCCTACTGGGATTCAAACTCTGACACCTTGGTCGTCCAGCCCGTAGGCAGTTGCTATATTGGCTGCGCTATCCCCCCGGGCAAGAGATTTTTCTCTACTCCACAGCATCCTGACTGGCTCTGGGGTCCACCTAGCCTCCTATCCAATGGGTACTAGGAGCTCTTTCTCCTGGAGTAATGCAGCCAGGTCATGAAGATGAAAACTCACTTACCAAGGTCCAGAATGGTGGAGCTATACCTCCATTATCTCATACAACTTCATGGCACGGTGTTTAATTAATCAAGCACAGGGACAAATTTAGCTTTTACCTTTTATGTGTACCTCTAACGAATATAAGTAATTGTTATATCAGACATACATACTTCTGATCGACGTGCCTGAAGGGATATCCTATCTTCACTCATAACCAGAGCAAACATTACAAGAGAGATGAACTGTGATGTATAGGCTTTGGTTGATGCAACACCAATTTCAGGTCCAGCATTGATGTGAACACCACAGTGTGACTCTCTACAGATGGAACTGCCAACAGTGTTTGTAATACCAACAATGAGAGCACCACGATTTTTGCAGTAACGTAACGCCATTAGCGTATCTGCTGTTTCACCTGAAAATGTAAAAATTGTAGCTCAGTGTAGTGACAGAAAACCACAGGCATCCATTTATTCCTAATAGTTATTAGCCATCTCATGTGCAACTTGCTGTATCTGTTAACACAACAGATACTCTCAACACAATAAGAGGAACTACCCATTACCATAGGACACATGGGAGCACAGATGAGGGTATATCCTAAAAACTGAACTTACAGATGGAAGCACAGCAGTTTCATTGCCTATTTTAGAGGCAACTAGAGATGAATAATGTTGGTCAAAACATGTAATGTATATACACCAATGATGTAGAAGAGATTTTAATGTTTAAAACTTTTAAAGGACTTAAAAAGCAAGTTGCATGTGAGATGGCTAATAACTAACAGGATTAAATAAATGACATGCAACAAGATGCTACGATACAGTATTAAACACCTACGCTATAAGTAAACCATTAGTGTGGTCCATTTTGTGATGGTGTCACTACCTAGACTAAGTAGCACTGAATGGTACAATGACTGATGAATGATGAATTGGAAAGTACTTGGAAGGAAGCAGGCATGGACTAAGCAAAGTATTATAAGGAATTTTCCTGGAGGGACTGAGGAAAGCCATGAAAACACTCAGTCAAGATGGCCAGTGTTACATCCAAGATTCAAATCGAGCACCTCCCAGATGAAAATCTAGAGCATTACCACTAGACCATCCTGCTTGGTGCACTGTAAGTAAATTATGGTTGAAATGCAAATGACTGACAGAGTGACTGGGGATGGTTACCAGTGATGAATGCCAACAGTTCAAATTTTCAGCACAATTTGGAATGCTACAGTGGTAAGAATTCAAAACATACTTAATTTGTATTAAAATATGTAACTTTCCTCAACTAAATGAGCTTAATGTTTTCAGTTAGTATACTGTACTTGGAAATCACTAAAATGAACGTTTTGGTTCATTTTAGTGATAAGATATAAAACTTGCTAAATTCTTCTCAGCAAATATGAATTTAATCTTTGCAATTGGTAAATAGTGTCATTCTGGATGTTTAATCAAATTTCATGGCCTCTGTCCTTCAGAAAGATAAAGGAATTCATTTCTGAGGTGGAAGTACTGATTTTGCATGCTCTGTTATTCCAGATCACAGGATGACTCAGGGTAGGAATAGCACTCAAGAACTTTTTCCATTAAGTTGGTGGCATGACAACAACATAAATTTAATTACAGATATGATTACTTATTAACTAAATCCATGACAATTACTGTCTTCTTGGATGTGGCACTGTGTAGTTTGGTAATTACCAAACTACTGTTGATGCCTACATCTTCAGTGTAGAACCCTACAACTCTTGGTAGAATGAGCAAAGGAGTTTTTAATTTTACTACCATCTAGTACGTTATAAGCTGGAAAAGGTGAACACACTCCCACTGAGCTAACTGGTGCAACTATCCTGCTCTTGACATGTATTCGAGATGTGCTCAGCTCAATCTCACCTGGGACACTGTCCATCCTGGCTGAGGTTTTCACTGTTTTCTTCAGTCTCTCCAAGGAAATTCTAAGGATAGTACCTCAATTAAGACACAACTCTGTCTTTCCAAATCCTTTATGATTCAATAGCCATCAATCGTCCTACCACTCGATACTATATGGTCTCTACACTGATAGTATAGTACAATAACATAAACCATGCAAAAGCACATTTCCATTGACAGGAGACCCCTTTTAATAGCATGGAATTTGCATTTGAAATACACATAAGATTTTGCTATAGGAATGGCTGCTACACTGCTCTTACCAGATTGTGATATGAAGAAACATACATCATCTCTGAAGACAGGAGTATTCCTATCAAGGAAATCAGATGCCAATTCTACCATGACTGGAAGTTCTGTGAGTTCCTCCAGTAGCTGCCTTGTTGCAACTGCACTATGGTAACTTGTTCCACATCCAATCATCATCAAGCGTCTGCAACGGCGGATTTCAGGTATGTAGTCCTGTAATTTTACAACAATTACATGAATCAATCGCATATGTATGGGATTAAATTTCATGAAGCCAAGTGACTATTACGAGGTCCCAGCAACACACTGCATTTCATTCAAATTTTGGGACTGCTAGAGAGCTAATGTGAGAAAGGGGATGCATTGACAGTGGGATGGAAGTTGCATTTGATATGAATCCTTTTAATTTAATTTAATGTAATCCAATCTACTGCATATGTAAAACTTTGATAGCAACTGCTAAACGTGTGTACATTATGGAAATGATTATTTAGTATATAATACAATCATGTTCATTAAATCATAATTATTTACCATATTTACGCGTGTATAGGCCGCACATTTCTTGCCAAAAATTCAAGAGGAAAACTGGGGTGTGGCTTATATTCAAAATATTCGATATCACACTTCATTTAAAAAAAATATATTCATAATTAGTAATACAGGGTGTAATACTCCTGAAATAATATTCCAAGAAAATTATTTTTTCTATAATTTCTGTCTGAAAATTGTGCTGCGGCCTATACACGCACGCGGCCTATACATGCGTAAATACGGTACTTACCTTTATACCACCAAGAATAACAGTCTGGGTCTCGAAGTTAAGACGCCCTCTCATGGTATTCACAACTGATTCAGGTTGTTCAAAAATTTCTTTCTGCATGAAAGAGCTGTAGTTACCTGCAGTAACAATTACGACTAGAATGAATACTTTATGCTTTTGGTAATGTTAAAGTTTGTTTTATAAAAGTAAAAAGTAAAGCAAAGGTATCCCTGTAACAGGCTGTGAGATGTTGAGGTTCCCACATTTTCTAGACAATCGGCTCATAGATGGCGGTAAGGTTGTCAGCCTTATGTGCCAGCCGCCCTTTATCCCCAAGAATATTCCTGGTACTCATTTCTGTTAGAGGCTGAGTCGACCTTAGGGTCATAGTGCGGCTGGAAGGATTAGGTAAATTGAAAAAATCCAGTGACCTCATTGGGATTTGATCCCGCAACTATCCGGCTTGTAGCATAGTGCCTCAACCAACTACGCTACCTCGTGCCCCCAGAGTTTATTTATTTTATAACTAGTCATAAATTGAAGCTGTTTCAATGAATGAATGAATGAATGAGTGATAGGGAACAGTATTATGTAGGTCTTGTTATACTATACAACCTCACTTAGTCTACAGTACTTCAAAACTTTTTCACTTGTATCTAACAAAGCGACTCTGTCGGCTCCATATGATAAGTAGTCTGCTTATAAGCTTTTCATGTTTCTCTTCATTGATGGTTCTGAAGAGATTAAGTCAATTGCCAGCTAAGGCTTTAATAGTTTAATGTTATGTGAGAAGCCATTTATTAGGACAAGCCATATTTTCTGTAGGTGATATCTCCCCTGAAGAGCCATATTCTATACAGATGTCATTTGCCTCTATTTTCTTTTGTGCACGCATGCACACGAATATGTGTGTGTGTTTGGGAGGGAGGGAGGGAGGGAGGGAGTTAAGGTGCATCAGTATGAATGGCTATGTAAAATTGATTTCAAGATACTTGTTTTCTGAAGTCCTAGAAGACAGGTGATTGAGTGTAGGTACTTATTCACAGAGATATCAGGGAAATATAATTTATGACAAATTGCAAGCTTCAGACTATACAGAATGCAAAAGATAATATAAATTAATATTTTTCTTAATGTATCAAACCATAATCTAGTACTGTGCAGAGGAGTAATATCTTCTGGATGCTGTGTAGTCCACTGAAAGTAAAGTGACATTTCAATGAACATGTCACCTCCATCTCCAGGGTTAAAGAGTAGGCAATTTCTACAGAGTATTGTGCACTTCATAATATACCTTTCATGATTTGCTGGATCTCCATTTTAAGAGTGATAATTTCGCGAGAGTGAGAGTCATCAAGTGATCTTCTGAGCCGATGAATACTCAAAGAACCTTCCTTCACTGCAGCTACATCATCATCCTAAAAATTACAAAAATTTTCTAGATCACATAAAGATAACAAAGTTTGAAACTGTCTTCTTTAGAGCAAGAAACAGTTCCTAGAATATTAAAAAAAAAAAACTTGATCTGAAATGGGAATACAAGATCATGCTGGGTAGGGGGACACTAGATTAAAGAAAATGTGCTCCTTCTGCCTAAATTTAGTTAGAAGATGAATGCTAGGCAATTAATAAACTGTGATAATAGATACAAACCAATCCGTCCAATGTGACATATAAGTATCTACTACATGAAAGCTTATCTCCCTTACATGTTTTGGTCCATATGGACCATCTTCAGGGGGAACATCATTACGAACTGGAAGCTACCATCACAATAGGTTTTGATTTAAAATACATACACTTCTATTCTATAATGCACAGTACGCATAAAGTCGAACATTAAAGAATGTGAGTGAAAACAACACAGCAAGCCACGAGCAAACCCTGGACGACATCAAGAACCTCCTCATCAAGATTGACAGGCGGCACAAAATCTGCCCATACAAGAAGGATGATAGGAGTATGGACACTGACCTACCTGGTTTAAAAAATTTTAACTAGTGACAAAGGTTTTTTAAATTAACATCTAGAAACTTTAAAAACTTTACAATGCCAGGAAGCTGCTGTAATTGTGAAATGTTCGACTTTATGCATACTGGGCATTATAGAATAGAAGTGTATGTATTTTAAATCAAAACACCTATTGTGATGGTAGTTTCCAGTTCGTAATGATGTTCCCTCAGAAGATGGTCCGTACGGACCGAAACATGTAAGGGAGATAAGTTTTCATGTAGTAAATACTTATATGTCACATTGGACAGAGTGGTTTGTATTTATAATTGTTAGTGTGACGGACCAGAAAGAAACAAATCAAATTTAATAAACTGTGACTTACATCAACAGCATTGTTAATCTCTGAATGGTTTTATAAATATTTTCTGAATTACACTTAGCAATTAACATTTTCAAAACCTCCACCTGGAAAGTCAGAGGGACACTAATCTTGCCTTATATAAAGTGTGGATTGCTTTAAAAAAAAAACACTTTGGAGATCATTTCAAAGAACCAAATCTGATAAAGTTAAAAATCAAGGAATATGACAGTAGATGGAAATTGAGGAAAGAGAGATAGAAGAATATGAAGGAAGGCAGACAGACAGACAGACAGAGACAAAGAAGGAATTGAATAGATGGTGTACAAGAAGTATAGAAAAAATTTAAAACTGATAGAGGAGTGGCCAGAGAGCAGAAGTATAAGATAGCTTATCTCCTGATTTCCCAGTAAAAATTGTGAATTTTTACTTTTACTGCAATTTAATTTGAATTTTTGCCACAAATATTAACTGCAGGTCCATATATCGTTTTTTTTTTATTCCATCTTATAAACTAGATGGGCACCATAGTAATGTTCTAAACTGGTATGCAGGCCAGGTAATATCTGGCTCAAATTTCAGCTGACAAATCTTCTTACACATTAATGGTACTAATGCATAAACATCACTGAAATTCAGAAATATGAAAAAATATGAACTCCACACATGATTAAACTACTTCCACAGACACTGAAAATCTGTGCGTTTTCGGCACCAGTCAAATTTAAAGACATACTAGCGCCAAAATAACAAAATATAATGGGTTTAACCCATTCCATGCAGTATTTCTAGTAAAATATACCTTTTTCTGTCACAATATTTTATGTTGACAGTTTTAATTTCTGAGAGGACATAAATTGCTTTAACTGTCAACCTAGAAGATCAGAGAGGTTGTACAAGACCAAATAAATTGAGACAAAAATATTAGTTTCTATAACAGTTATTTCCAAGTGCTGCAGGATAAATGTTAATTCAAATTAATTAGTTCAAGATTCTAAACTTTGGAAATTTGCTTCAAGATAATGAATTCTGTACAAAATTTATAATCTTAGAAACTCAGAAAAGTAGCACAGGTCATTAAATAGCCAATCACTGAAGACTAATAAAATAACAAATGTAAAGAATTCCTTAAAATCTGAATATCCATGACTCATGATCAGATGAGTGGCTCACCTCCAAGAAAATCACCCTGTTTGTATGCTCAATGACAGCACTAGCATCAGAAGCAAAGAAGTATTCCACTTCCTTATCTTCCAGTGGCTGGAACTCTGCTGTCGAGTCAGAACGGGGAAGAATTGGCAAGTCACCTCTACCATGGGGTCGGTGATCTGTAGACAGTGTAGTGTATAGCTAATATCATCACAGTTACAGAAAGTAAGATGAGGGTTAATACTCGTATGTTAATAATATTACCCAGATGAATTCAAGATATGCTGCAGCATACAGTAATACTAAGTTCTCAAAAGAAATGTAGGGAATATGAAAGAAACCTTCCAAATAAATTCACAGTGTATATATATTTTACTTTTAAATCAAGTGTATTCCATTACAATGCAAATTCTCTGAATTGCAGGATTCACATATTTGTACCAAAATAGTCACATATGAACACAACTGTCATTATCTTCCTAAAAAATATATGACTATCTGATCATATGAGATAAATTGATTTTGTAAGACGATGAGGAGACATTCAAAATAGATATATATTTTAACAAATCTTGTTTCAGTTCTTCTGTTACTTTAAATTGATGTTAATATGTTGGCAGTACCTGTCCCTCATTAAAGAATGATAGTTTACATGATCCACTAACATCAAAACCAAGTGCATCAGTACTCAAATTGTATAAGCCTGAATGTGTTACCACGCAAGATGATGAAGTGGTATTGCTCTAGACTTACATTCTAGAGGCACTTAATTCCATTCTCGACTTGGACACCAACCTTTCTAAATGAGATTTTTCATGGTTTTCCTAAGTCCCTCAAGGCAAATGCCAGTATAGTACATCAATCAGGCTGTGACCATAACCTTCAAAATTATTTACAGTGCATTACCCATCAATCATCCTACCATTCAATCCTACATAGTCTGAGATGCTGACAATGTCAGCTAATTAACCACAGACCACTGAACATATTATTAATAGCTCGTGTTTTTCAAGCAAATCTGTGTGACATAAACTCCCATAAGCAATATTTTTTTCTGTAGGATACTCTGTGATACTCTCAGTGCTCTATTAAACCTATGAGACTACATGGCACATCCAATAAGACAATAATCTTCAATGACACAATTGAACTGATATAAATTGTTCTCAGCATGTAGAAGGTTGTACAAATGTATGAAAGTGGAAAAGGTCTCATGTGCTCGTAGCATATGAGTATACTGCAGATTCTACATCTGTAGAGGCTTACAGAAGCTCCTTAGCTGAGAGAAGTTTGTTACCAGCAATAAGAAAAGCCAAGTATTTGCCGAATTATATGTGACAATCATCTAATTCTATACTGTGATTTAATGAAACTGTTAAATTTAATTAAGGGTCTTCAACTTTTGCTTCCATTGCAGCTTAATGAATGCTTTGCTGTCATCTCCCCAACCCAGTGGCAGAATCAAAGAAACATAAATTAGGGTGACCAGACTATAAAGGAGTACATGCATATGAACTTCAGAATAAGCCAGTGCAGAACCACAGATGCCTAACATTATTTCATTCAATGTACTAACTTTTACATTATAGTAAATAATGTTATGAAGAAAGAGATACTTGTTACTTTATGAGTATACTACTTCTATAACATTTGATAGTAGAAACATGAACTAGCAATTAAATAGTCTAAAGTAACTATGTTGCCATACTTTGTAGCAAAAATTGCTGATCAGATATTGATTTTGGAGTCCATAACTATTAATATGCAAAATAAATGTTTCTACTGAATTACTATAGAATACAGAAGCTTTGCTCATATTGTCCATCACTGAAAGTATCTGCTTGGAAAGAAAGCCAAACAAACTGAGGTTTAATTTAGAATAGTAAAATTAATGTACAATTTTAATTTCATGATACAATAGGACCTTCCACAGAATTTAAAGGCATGATTCACTTAAAAAAGTGGGATGTCTGGTCACACTAATGTAGACACTAGATCTATGTAAAATATATGCCAACTGAATTAAAGTATATTTCCGTTTAAGAACAACTATGATAAATGAATACAAATACTTAAAAAATTTGGCGTAAAATTTGCCTCCATATTAACAGACTTACCAAAAAAAAATATATAGCAAAAGAAAACATCTTATTGTAGGATAGTCCATTCACCTGTGGGCAGAACACTTAATTCTGTTACTCAGTGGAGGAAAAGGAATTGAGTACACTGTATTATAGTCAGCATATCTCATTCACCTAGACATTATGATCAGCAGAATTTACCCAAGGCCACAGGCAACCCATAGACACCACAGGAAACTTCTAGCATAGCCTGCAAAAGAAACCCATCACCAAAATGCTACAAGGGACTACTGTATCATTTTGCGTTTAAAATATTTTACTGCAAGACATGTGAAGATGTACTTCCTCTCTGGAACATATATCTGCATCAACAAAGAGAGTAGGTGGTAAAATTATTCGCTGCGCTATTATTCCAGTGCTGGAAAGAAATAGAATAACTTCCCTGAAGGTCCATTCATTTGAGTACATTCACATAACATTTTCTGCTAGGAAAAAACCAACTTCCAATATAAATTCCTACAACTTGCTTTTCAGATCTATAATAAATGAGGAAACTTACTTTGTAAGGTATCAAGATGAGATGCAGAGAGGAAATCCTGCTCCATGTCAGTGTCTTTCTCTACTTACCCATGATACTTGTTAATGTAAAAATATAAAATGAACATTATGTCCTTTTCATACTTGTTTTACTAAATTGCACCAGTATTTATTATGTTAACATAAGATAATTTCTGTATCATTTGTGAATGACATATTTCAAACTGTACACTGTAAATCAGCCTGCTGTTGCTGGTGTTACTTACCAATATGATGGAGATTTTTAAGGTATTATTTTCTAAGAGAAAGAGACATTGAGACTTGCATTAATTAGAAAGAATCCTTAAATAAGACATTTTCAATATGAATCAAGAAGTTATTTATGTAATTTATAGTCTTTAACATGTGTGTACAACAATCTAAGCTGCAAGCATATTGTAGTGTGATAATGCAAAGCTGCATTCCATAACCACATCAATTTAGGGAATATAAGTAACTCAGAATCATTTATGTAATCGGAAATGTAGAACAAACTTTAGCATTTGTTGATAATAGAATCGTGTGATATTTGAAGTTCTCACAGCTGTAAGCATCAAGTTCGTTGTCCTCTAGGTTATGATCATGTGTAGCTTCATAGATGTGAATTAACCTCTTCAGAACTGAACATGGAGGTAACATGTTCATCCAAAATATTATTTTCTATCTACCAAGTTACACAGGACACATCCTGGAATCCTGTACCCTTAAGAATTTGCAGTCTTTCAATTTAAACTTTACAGACTGCATCCTCTTGTGTAAATAATATTTCATTGCTTATATTATGACCGTTCATATTAGACATGTAAGATATATACCAACACCTACTGTCTTTATTGAAGATATTCCCATATTACTTTTCGTGTTGATGATCATAATATAAGCAATTAAATATTTCAATTTAAAACTATTTTTACATACACGTTCAATAATATTAATGTAGTACATCATGTACAATTTTTTCATGTATAGAGCTATCTTAAGAGACAAATGTTTATCAAATACTGATGTGTACTGCTTGAATATAAATATACACGTATTTGTAATGCATTATGCATTATGCCAACCTGCTATATGTCTGCTGAACCAAGGAGAAGACTGTATTTTTGTGGCTATCATACAAATATAAGTGCTGAAACCAATTAGTGACCTTCAGAATTTTCAGATCTGTGTGCCAGAAATGGAACCACAGCAGAAAAAAAGGAGAATTAAGCTACTTTGTTGGTGGTACTTTCTGAACAAATAACTCAGAGATTGGATGACAGATTTATTTTAACTGGATATCTGCAGTCTTGCGTCATTTCGTATTGATATAAAACAAACAACCAGACAGCAGTAATATTTTGCTTTCAAAGTTGAAATATACAGTCTAAAAATTTAAAATGAACACTGCAAGGCTGTGTTTCTTGCCTGACTGAATGACCTAAGAAAATTGATCAATCAATTAAACAGACCAAAAAATCGTGACAACTTTTACTTTTCTTTTATAGAACTTCTGACTGTAGAACTTACGACTGTTCCATTATGGAAAATGGAAACTGTGTTGCTTAAAACTGGTATCTCTTATGCTTGCTGTATCTAAAGTTCAGTTCCAAGTGTTAACTTTCCATGAATTCCTATAAAATGATATGGTTATGTTTTTTAACACTGAAAAGCAAAGTGAGAAGCAGAGGCAGAAATATAAAGACAGAACTTAGGAAGAAATAAATAAATTAATTAAAAATGTAGTTTGTACCTGGGTTTTGTGACTCTGCATCTAATGGAAGGGCAGGAACAGATTGTTTAAAAAAAATCAAACAGAGAAATGTGAAAATTAGTGCAACAAACCATAATATCACAGGTAAGTCATGCAAAACAAAACAAAATTGGCATGCATAAACAGATTTCCCATACATTAAATAAAAACAAGCACAGGACAAAAACATTATCCCACTAACAGCACAATCATTTTACTGCTCGTAGAGGCAAAGGTTTAACAAGGATATTTCTGAACAATTTATTACCTGAAGAAAGCAGTCTTCTGGGATTTGGCACCGTGTATATGTGGTGTTAACCGACGTTTCGGAGGAACGTATCGCCTCCGAAACGTCGGTTAATACCACATATACATGGTGCCAAATCCCAGAAGACTGCTTTCTTCATAGTCACCGCCGCGAAAGCCTCAAATCTTACAATTTATTACCTATATACATTCCTTCAGAAATTAATAAATTAATATCACAGAGAACTTGTGCTAGTGCAGAATAGCTCACAAGCAAGTTTATTAGAATCTTTAAGATGCTACACACTGATGTGTGTGCTGGGGTTAAATTAATTTATAAAAAAGAAACATTTGAAGACCCTCTACTGTATTCTACATAAAAGTCCACAAATTATAACCACTGTTATAATATTTAAGTACACATCCTTATATCCTGACTGTACCACTGTTATGAACACTGTTAAGAAAAGGAAAAATAAAAATTAATACAATTTTCTAAATAGAAAATTTTAGTCATAACAACTTATTTTTAAAAAGTTTGGTCATGAAACTATGCAACAAAGATTCATAAACATGCTGAAATGAAAGTTAATGTGAAAAACTGCAATATGAATTTAGTACCTAATGATTTCAGTCAGAACAGTCAGATATCTACTCCAACTATACATGGACATCACAGAAATTCAAACACATTTCAAAGGGCCAGTGCGTCCATCAGAGAATATGGTAAATGGTGGTAATGGATAAGAATTCCCATATTATTTACTGGTTAAGACTGACACACAGAGTTTGAAAAGAACGCACCAGAAATATATAGAGAAGAATTATAAGATATTCATAACAGATTATTAATCTGAACTCAAAACCAATTTCTGATACTATAAACAAACTATACAAAGTGTTTTTGCCATGTTAATTAGACATAAAGTGTTTTGTACTGCAACAAAATACAAATTATGTGACAGTGCATAAGTAATACTGAAATAAAGTATAAATAAAGACAAGACACACTATCTGACAGAAGACAATCACAGATGCTGTCACACTGTAAACATAATATTTGATGATTATTTGTATCATCAGTGCATCTGGATCAAGAATGAAGAAATTTTTTATGACAGTTCTCAATTACACAGTAATAGTCTCATTAAACCTACTACAGCAGAATAATGATTACAATGAACCACTGAAACATATAGCTGTAATTGTTGAATTAATAAAAATTAGAATATTTACTTGATGCATAGATTGATGAATGGAATTATTTATAACCATAATATTCCTGGGAAAACAGATAATGCTTCAAATTAAATATTTCAGCTCCTGAAAATGTTTAAACTGAGATTTATGTAGACACTATTTTTTAAACAGTGATGAATCCACACAAATCTTTTACCAAGACAGCAAAATTTATAGCATTAGAGTGCTATTGTATATGAACAGAAAAATACTGTAAATATCTGCATTTTAGAGTAAAAAAAAAAAGTATTAATCATTGTCCTTTGAGGCTATGCTTTGTTATGTCTCTTTAGGCTATGCTTGTTACACCTTTCACTTCTAGGAGGGTGCCAGAATTCAGGGGTCAAAGGCAGGAGGTAGCGGTATCATGTCCTGTCTTATTGTATTCCAATTTTTTCTCTAATATCTGATAAATGCAAAAAATCTGATCAGTTGTTGATCTGTTACATCAAAACCCATACTAATGATCCCAAATAATTTTGCCTATATATGGATTTAACCTTGAGGATGTATACTGGATGAAAATTTGTAAAGTTAATAACAGTAATATTCCCTGATACATACTAGAGCAACATCTATCACTCCTTCCACTTATCAAGAAATTCTTCCATATTCCAAATAGAATTAATGAGTTTAAGGATCTCAGTAATGCTTCACCTCCTATTTGAATGAGTTCTGTCAGAATTTGATCACTAGCTGGTGATTTATATTTGTTCAACTTTGCAACAGCAGTCTGAACCTCATAAGGACTATGATCTGGTACCAATGACTCAACTGTATGTATTTCTTCCACATATTCACAATGTTGTGGGAAGGTTTACCCCTTTTGTGTACAAAATACACAATCCTGTTTCTTAATTTCCCTCATGGTTCTTCAAATTCAGTTCTTTCCACTGTAGTTAGGTTACATTTATGGCTCTGAATTCAGATTAAAGGTAGCAGAAATAATACTATGTTCAGAAAGTAGTTCAAGGAAGATAGATTATTAGAAATCAAGTACAGAATTTTAAAGAAAAGCTATATCAAGTAATGAAAGAAAAAAGATCAGAAAGTCTGAAACTGAAGTATCTACTACCTGTTGCTACAGGTTGTTCATCTGTAGGGTGCCAAGAGTGTCAATCAGGTCATGCAAAAACAAAAACAGATATCAGAGAAAATTAATTACAACAAAATTGGTGATGTATTTAATTTGTTAGTCTACTTACACACAAAACAAGCCTATGACTGTTAGCACAATATATATATATATAATACAGCCCACAGACAAGCAGCTGCTGTGAAGTTCGAAAGCCACAGCTACATAAAGGCAGGTTATTACAGCTCACCCCTGGAAGACAATCATTAGTATTCTGGGGGAAGAGAGGATACTTCAAATTAGCTCAATTTACATACTCTATGTCAGGGTCTGATACATCCATCCTACTTCTGTGCATTTTATTAAGCCCCTCTAATGGCTATTTGAGCAGAAGGTCTAACCCAACACGTTTTTCTTAATTGTCATCTTTTACTCTACCATTTTTCTCCACTCATTTCTCTTTTTCTACTGCAATTTCCCCCAAGCCTTCACTTAACATGGAGGTTCCCCATCGTTCCAGACATCTGACTATTTCAGCCCCCTGCCAAGATATTGGTTCTGTTAAGTTCTATATCTCCATTTCACTTTCAATTCTCTGCCACTCGACAAATCAGATGCAGAGCAGTTTTTAGGGTACAAAAGTGCTTATGAAGGTAGTATTATTGACAGAAAAGAATCTTATCCTGTAAGCAGTACTTTGACTGCACTGTTCAGGCTAATTCAGATGCTCTATTAACTAGTTTTATAATTATGAATACATCTGTTCAGTTGGAAAGTGAAGAGACAGATTGATTACAGTGTAATGGCTATTAATTCTATTTCAGTCCCTGCTTTAAATTTCAACCTGCCATTCTACACAACAATGGTCACTGCTTTAATCAGACCCTCCACATAAATGCTGGAAAAGTGCCTTCACATAAGCCCAGAAAATTTATTTTCTTATCACTCCTGATTCATCAATCAGAATTAAGCTTTCGTCTGATTCTATGTAACCTATGCACTTCACAAAGCACTGCTGAATAAACAAAGAATATAGATTTATGTGGAAATAATATACTGACTGTATATACATCATAAATACAGAGATCTCGGAGGTAGACAGTTTTATACTATTTAACTGTATACCACTGCTTCATTGCAGTATGTAAGTCAGTGTTAATTTCTGAACAAGGGGCCATGTAGAAGAGTGCTTAGAGTCTACATACAAGTGATATTTTACACATCATGCAAGAAATATGCAATTAGCACATGTTAAACCATCATAGGCATTATTTTTAGTTGCAGCATGCATGTTAAACAGATGCACTATCATATGTGTATTGTGACATGCATGAATGCACTCCCATTGCAGGAAAAGTGTCATGTTTCATTCAAAGAGAAAACAATTATACTTAAAGGACATAACTACATCCTTCTGAAATAATAATATTTACATACAATCCTCATATTCAGTGTAGTGCCTAGTATTACCCAATCAGCTATAGCAACATCATAGTATCTCAAGGGACCAAATGCAGTGGTCAAATATGCAGTGTTTCAATTATCTTTGTCTTTAAATTTAAATATGCAACATAAATGTTCACATTCTTGACATTATTTTGGTTAGGTGTATGGCATATTTCCTTATTTTCATATTCAACAAAGATCTCTTAAAATATTATTTAATATTACCCATATTCTGAAAGATCATCACATACATATTTACGTATTACTGAATTATGAGAAACTATCAAAACAAAATATTTAAGCTATAATCATATTGTAGTGTGATCAGTCAAACAGTACATTTTCATTGGCTTAAAGAGAAAGGCAGCATTTTTAAAAAGTTACCTACAAGGAAGACTGTCTCAAAATTATATAAGTTGTATTAACAATCTATACCCTGGTACCCTGACATTCTCATTCCAGTTACAGTAGTAACCCTTTATACATCATGCTTCAGTGCAGGCAGGAAATTTAATTTTACCGTTCTGATGTGATAGAGGGGAAGAAAATGACAAGATCATTATTCTGTTAAAAATATTTCTATAAGTCACATGTTCTGTTTAAAAAACATATATCCTAAGACCAGTATATTACAAAAAGATAGAGTTTTGTATGTGTGGAATATAAATAGTGAGGGGGTAAAACTTTTACAAATGTGTAAGACAAAGCTAGCACTGTGCACTTCATCTTAAGGCATATGTAGACACAGAGGTAAAACTCCATATATTCTTATCTTGGAACTGAATGGAGATAAGAAGTCAGCTTCATATTGTGATTTTATCATTAGGAAAAAAACCCAGATTCTACAGAGAGGAGGGCTAGAATTATATTGAATATTTTGAAGAACTGAACATTGTCCATTCATTCCAAAGCCCTTCACTTTAATGACTGATCTATCACACTATGTGTACAAATATTTGCTGTATAGGATGAGTCAAACTGTCCTACATCACAGCAAAGTTCTGTGTTTCTGTAAAACTGCATTCATTTTTAATGTCAGGACAAAACTGAGATTAGTGTTCAGGGTAAGTCAACATGTGGACAACCATTACCAGACAGATGGCAGGATAGTAGGTTGATTGTGCCACAAAACCATTGCCAAGCTTGCTGGGGCCCTAGCTGTAGAATAGACAGCCAGTCACTTCACTGTCTGAGCTATTTTGACTCACCTACATCATACTGGGTACATTTTAATCAATGCAAACTACATTTTTCTACCACATAAAATTATACTTCTGATTTCTCAGAAATTATTAGGAATGGTATGATGTTTATATTAAAGAATGTGATACTACACATGTTGTTTAAACACTAAGTGCAAAGCCAATACTCATCTTACCCATTCTGTCTCCGAAAATCAATGCATAAACATAACAAGGTTTCAAAACATACAGGTAAGCAATTTATAGTACAGCAGATTTAATACTAAGAGTTTCAAGCAAAGTTTTCAATTTTGTTAACAAATTTTATGAGCCAGTCGCTAATTTGTCTTATGTTTGTTGTCCAACACCATTCATAATTAAAATAGAGCATTTCTTTCTAGGTAGCATTTACCACTGTTTCCCAAGCCTCAACAATATATTCCTCACCATGATGAATGACATGAAACAGAACATGAGTGGCTAATGATGAAAGAGTTTTGAATTAAAAAGCCATTATAATTAGGATCAGAACAAAAATAATTTTTATTTCTATAATGAGAATAAGAAAATCAAATGGTAAAGAACGCATTTTCATAAGCCACTCATTCTTACAAATAAGAATTATCAGTACCAATTCTAAGTACCATCCTAGAGCAGCAATTCTGAATCTATTTCACTTAATGTACCCTTTGGTCTAAAAATGAAATTTCATGCATCCCTTTTCAGTGGTACCTTAATTTTTATATCAAACTACATGTTATCATGCATTATACACATGAAAAGATACAGAGATATTCTCATTTTAAATTAACTTCATTTATTCCATGCATAAAAAAGTTGCGCAAAGGAAGTTGTCAAAACACTTTTTAGATGCCTTTAACTTGTGCTTGACAAGGTATATATCTCCCACACTCACTTATGAGCTTCATGTACCTCCTGGTGGTACATGTACCTCTGGTTCAGAACCACTGGCCTGAAGATTTCAGGAATTATTATGCATCAGATGTGGGCAAACTGCAGACTACAGGTGCTTGAGACAGAATTCAAAAGTAAGTCTGCAAAGAATTTTGACTTTGGCCTGTGAAACAATTGAATATCCCCTACCAGAAACTGTGTGTAATGAAGTTTCTCTATCCTTAACTGATTTCAGAATTCCTCTCTCATCTTCTCAGTATAAGAGAATAATGAGTAGTATGATAACATTTATATTAATGTGAGACTTATATTAATTTTACTGGTTTTATTATATGCAAATGAAGATACCTTCAACACATTTATCATCCTATCAGAGAGGGGTGTATGATTCAGGCATCAAGCTATTTAACACTCTGCCGTCAAATATCACAGTTTTAAAAAATGATAAAAACAATTTAGGTTTGTTTTACGAAATTATTTGCGAAGTAACATATTTTACTCTATTGATGAATTTGTTGAGCATGCAAGGGGCTCAAAAGTTAAGAGTTAGTTAGTTAGTTATTGGAGAGGGTGGGTTTCCCCATACACTGAGACCTGTATTGGTCTATTGTGCTTCCCTCTATGATTTCTACCAGTCTCTATATCCTACCGGTATTGGTGCTTACCATCAGTCCCGCCCAGCCAGCGAGACCGGCTCTACTGGCTGAGAAGTATCTATAATGCTTCCCTCATCTACCGGAGGTATTAGTGACTGCTGTTGGGTGGCAAACGTCCGCAATTTTGCTCAGCGACCTCCTTTGGAGGTATGAGGTTCTTTTACGTGCCGTAAAGCTACGACACAGGATCCATGGCTTAAAGTCCCTCCCGGAGGACTTGTTCCCTGAATTTTTCCACCCTTAAAAATTCGACGACCTCCGCCGGGTATTTGAACCTGCATACTACGAGTCATGAGGTGCGAACGTTACCTCTAGACTACGGAGGCCGCTAAGTTAAGAGTTAATAAATGGTCTGTGTGTGTGAATTATATATTATTGAGACTTGCTTGTTGTAAGTGTAGTAGTATGTATGATATCTGTTTTTGTTATGAATTTTAATATTTTATAATGTAACTGTTTTAATGATACTGCTTGCCAGTGTGTGTGGAATGGCAAGGCATCAATTTGACAGTGGTTTTTCCACAACCCATGTGTGTTGTCCTGACAACTTGAGCTATATGTGAGAGGCCTGATTATATATTTTATTGGACAAGGGACAAATGATGTGTAGTCATCATGAATTTGTAATATGTGACATGTTTTATATCCAGCCCTAGGGGGAGATGATTGGATCCATGAAGTAAAAATAAATGTAAATGTAAATGTTAGGTATCATGAATATTCTCTCTCCTCAAACACAAGTCTGGCAAGCTGGCCAAGAGCGTTAATTTAATGCTAAAGTTGATACAGAGGGCATTCTAAGAGCCTGCACAATTTGTGCAGTCATTTAAGGAAATTATGTGAATGCACTATGTAGAAGTGTAGATCTTAATTAACATATCTATAGCTCACTACCCAATGTCACAGTGAAGAGGGAAGCACTCCTGCTTTTTATTTACTAGATCCTGGGTTAAAAATCTTAGGCTGGGGACCTGCTATCCTGACTAAGGATCTCCAGGGTCTTCTCAGTCCTTCTGGATAAATCCTTAGATAGCATAAATACTTCAAATTAAACTATTACTACTGCCTTCCTCATCCTTTCAAATTACTTATTCAATAATATTCTTATGATTTGATACTATACGTATATTCTAAACGATAGCACTATCTCTGTAAGAGGCCATGGAGGGCCAAAGGGTTATGAGATGTTGAGGCTCCCACATTTTCTAGACAATTGGCTCACAGATGGTGGTGAGATTGTCAGCCTTATGAGCCAGCTGCCCCCCCCCCCCAGGTATATTACTGGTATTCATTTCTGTTAGAGTCTGAGTTGACTCCAGGGCCATAGCATAGCTGGAAGGCTTAGGTCAATTGAAAAATCCAGTGACCTCATCAGAAATCAGACACATGACCTTCCAGCTTGTTGCATAGTGCCTCAACCAACTATGCTACTGCATGCCCCCTATGTATTCCAAGATAAATAATTTCAGCTTCATTAAATAAACCATAAATAAAGAGAAATAAATGATGCTTTTTTTTTAAGACACTTCAAAGATGGCTCATTAACTGGAACTTTTAAAAGCGATGATTTCTAGGAAACAAAGCCAAATTATTTAAATGATCTGTTCTGAATCAGAACAACACAGATTGAATAAAGTATACCTTTAAATGTCAGATATGGTTAATAAGTCAGTATGGATGTTTTGCATAATAAAAATATCAGAATAATACCTACGGCTCATAACAAATGAACTGTTTCATAAAATAAGACTAAGTATAATTAAATAACATTAAAAACAAGATTTCCAGTTTAAGTAAATTAATGTGTAATGATAAATAATCAAAGGAACACAGCAAAACATAAGGCTTATCAAAAAATTCCACTTTTCTTGAAACGCAACACACATTGTTTGAAAGCTATAATGAATTTTGTGACTGCAAATTTTAACTCTTCTAAATACTCAATCACTTATGAGGTCAAACTATTATATATAAATATGCTCCACTCTTAATTCAATTATGAATTTGCCAAGCTACAATTACCTTTGCTGTACAGAATTGGTACATGATCAGTAGCCAGACGTGTCTTAGCTTTTATTCCAACCAGCAGAGGGCTACCTCGACGAGTTGCAACACACTCACCAGGAAAATGCTTACTTTTGAAGCATAATGCAAATGCTCCTTCCTATTCAGGATTAAAAATAGAGGAAAACAGAATAACAATGACATTAGAACACAAGTGACAAGAAGCAAGTTCATTACATGGTACTAAATATCAATGGCAAGTCAAACAGACTCAAGTTGTGAAGTTTGCTAGAACAGAGTTCTTTCAAATTTCCATGAAATACTCTTATTAACACACTAACTATACTGAAATCATGGAAAGAAGTTCCATGAACAGATGCCAGCTAATGTCTCCTTTGAGCTTTACATCTCCCTTTTGAGCATTCATCTCCATATTTCCCTCCAGCTCTCTAGCCATTCCATTTACAGAAATACTGATTTTGTGATAACCACACGATAACTTTGGCTACCCGGAAGCACTCTGGGCTGGTTAGTATAGGCCACTGTGGCCTGAAGACAATACAACAGTAGGTAGAAATGGGTAAGTCTCAAATGCCATATCCTTACCACCCATGGCTCTTCTTTCAATGGCCTAAAAAAAGCAACTAAATCCATGAAGTAGCATCGTCCCAAAAAATTCAATCTATAAAAACATAAATTTTCACCATGCCCCAAGAAAAACTTAACAATATTCATGGCTCATTTAGGAATGAATGTACAAACAGAAATCCTCAGATCATGACAAAGTAAAGATATACCTGTAACAGGCCGTGGAGGCCAATAGGGTTGTGAGATGCTGAGGTTCCCACATTTTCTAGACAATCAGCTCATAGATTGTGGCAAGGTTGTCAGCCCTACATGCCAGCTACCCTTTACCCCCAAGAACATTCCAAGAATATTCTTGGTACTCATCTGTTAAAATCTGAGTTGAACCCAGGGCCACAGTGTGGCTGGAAGGATTAGGTCAATTGAGAAAAATCCAGTGACCTCACTGGGACTGGAACCCGCAAACTTCCGGCTTGTAGCATAGTGCCTCAAACAGTTTCCTTTTCTAAAGATACTGCATATACTTTTAAGTGAGAAGCTTATGAAAGGAAATGGATAAAATTTATGTTACTGGAACTATGCATTCATCTTTCCAGGTCCTGTGTTGGATACATTAAAAAATCTGCAGAAATTATATTCTGGTCCCAAACAATGATTAATTCACCAATCTTAAAATTAATACAAAAAGAAATAAAGAACAGATAAATGAGTAAAAGAAAGGAAGAAAGAAAGAAAGCCAGACCTGTTATTTTGTAACATTTTCAAAATAACTGACCTCAAAAATGCATTCAGCTTTTTAAAAAGAAATTATAAAACAACATTTCTGTAAATGTAGAATGATAGTTGGACATGAAGGCTATTAAGAGGCCAGACTGAAGAGGTTAGAAGATAGAGAATATGATTCACAAGAGATAGAAGTGAAGAGCTGGAGGCAAAAGTGAAATAACAGAGAAGACTGGGAACCTGTTGTAAAGAGGCAAAAGTTCTTAGAGAGCAGTAGAGCCAAGGAATATGTAAGTAAATAAAGACTATTAAGAAAAACTGAGAAGAGATAAAAGTAAAGCTATTCCTGTAACAGGCCGTGAAGACCCATAGGGTTGTGAGACAAGGGTCCCACATTATCTAGACAATCGGCTCAAAGATGGCGGTAAGGTTGTTAGCCTTACGTGCCGGCCACGTTTCACTACCCAGGAAAATTATTTAATTAATTCCTGGTACTCATTTCTATTAGAGGCTGAGTGAACCCCAGGGCCATAGTGCAGCTGGAAGAGTTAGGTCAATTGAAAAAAATCCAGTGACCTCATCGGGATAGAGATAAAAGATCTAAAAACAGAACATTACACAAATTCTGAGAAAAGAAACGTTATAAGAAGAAAAGATGGTGCAGTGAAAGATATACAATGGTATGGACACGTGTCACACACAGAAAAGTTCATAGGTGAAATCAAGTAAATAACTACTATAGGGATCAAAAATTAGGTGCGATACACAGAGTGGTCACAGATATCAAATGGGTACTTGTCAGAAGACAGAGATGAATGGAGAATATAATTTAATCAGAAGACATATCCTGGTGAAAACATTAATCGATAACGATATCGGGACTTCTGTGCAAGAGGCTGTGAGAATGTACAAGTACACATATCCTCCAAATACATACCAACTGCTGGATAACTTGTTCTATCAGCTCCCTGAAAGAACAGTTTGGGTTCTGTAAGTAGATATGATGCACCAGCTTAGCAATGACTTCTGTATCGGTCTCTGATTCAAACTGGTAACCCTTCTTCAAGAGGAACACTTTAACATCCTTGTAATTTGTAACAATACCTGAACAGACAGATAATAATATCATGTGAGTACATGAGTTTGTAACAAAAACTGTACAGACATAAAAAATACTACATAAGTACATGAGTTTCTAATCAGCTTAAACATCTGAACTATAAATACTTAATTATTAATATACCCATACCAAAAAAGTAATGGACTTTGAAGTTAGCCTACAAGAAACAAAATGTTTTGTAGTAACGGGTTTCTGGACTTAGTCCACTGTTTTAGTACTCGTATTCTGAAAAAAAAAAACAACACATTTTGCAAACTGAGTGTGTTTCCATCCTCAGGTAAAAAGCTGTGAGGTGACTATTCAGTGTGATCCCTCAGAAAGAGCTAGCCTCAATCACTGGATTAGTTCTTGAGTTATTTTACTATACTAATAGGATGAAGAAAGACCATAAACCTTTTAATCCCATTGTAACTGAGATATGCTGTTTCCATCATCATGCGCTCCCACACAGCAGTTAATTTTCCCTTCTACCAGAACAAAAATGATATCATCACATGTCATATAAACATTTTATCGAGGCAAAAGACAATACCACAACAACATCCTACTACTGATATAGTAAGAAATGTCACATTTCATTAAATAACATTGGTTGAATATGTTACGTTAGGTTTACAATTAACTGCAGATTGCAACAGGTTTCAAGTCATAATTCACACACTTTCGTATATGGTATTTTGGGATGTGGCTCAGTATAGTCTGGTGTGTTACCCCTCCATCTTCAGGGCCATAGGCTCCCTCTGGACCACTTACAGCTGTATCCCAATGATTCTTTACCCTACATTACATACAACTGCTTGCTTTTTCTCCTGCCCTAAAGATGGATACAGTAGGTTTGTTCAAAACAGTGCTAACCATCTACCAGAAGAACACAATCTTAGAATTCCTCAACATGGGAAGTTCTAATATGATGCTTAAATATATGGTGCTATCAAAAGTCAAATACCTTTCCTGAAAATTGGTACAGAAACATGTTGTTCACAAAGGAAAATCTTTGTTCATTCTTGTTTAAAGTAAAAAAAAGCATGAAATTATAACCTGACATAAAGTCTATGATACATCAACATGAATGTAAAGGTAAAAGGTAAATAAAGTTATCCCAGTTCTTAATTAGTTAAGCACTATACCATGAAGGCATATGGGGGAATGGTAGTATAGCTGCAACACTGTTGTCCTCAGCCCTAGACGGAGCAAGAAATTTGTTGCTTAATACTCATACAGCAGTGTAAATTTTCCTTTGCTCTTAATGTTAGTAACATATTAGTACAAGAATCAACATATTCCGCTCTAATGCCCTGCAGATTTTTGTTTTTGTGCGGAGTTCCATCAAGGTGTCTGAAACTAAAATTATTCTACAGAGAAAAGAATTTTAGGAAACATTTTTCTTTCTTCCCTTACAATTTTGATGTTGCCAAGTATCTTACTGAGTGTATGTTTTCAAATACCTTAATTCTTTCTTCTTGTCCTAGATTCATTTGTCTTTCAGTTTCATCCTATTAGAGATCCAGTGATTCAAGATATGCATACACACACATGGATAAAAGCCTAAGACTGCCTTTAATCTGTCTTCATATAGAAGTCATTCTTGTTAGTAGTTAAGGATAGGAATGTCAAGGGGCAGTGAGGGGTACCTTTGCTTCAGTCAGCACTGCAGTCTCAACCTTTATCAAAAACAGATTTCCATTGTTGATGCTGTGCATATTCAGTTAGATCATGCTTCACTGTATAAAAGTGGACTAACTGAGACGTTATCTGTGTAAAATGTAGCTCCAGATAAGAATTCTGTATTTTGAAGGTTCTGTCCATTTGAGAATGCTCAAAATAGTAAGCAGCTGTGTATTAATACAACGGAAGATTACAAAAAATACATGGGGAAAAAATGGAGCATATGGTGACAATGTCAAAATAATTGCTATTAGCGAAATATACTGTGACGTGTTGCGCTATGGATGACGCCCCTCCCTCCCCGCCAGCCATGACGTGCGGAGCGGAGTCAAAGTGAGCCGAGTCCCAGCACGCTGGTCGCTATGCAAAGCGAGTAAACACTGATTGCTAAGCAAAGCGAGTAAACAGCGGTGACATAACACGGGACGCCACAGTTGCTAGGCAGCAGTAAACAACTCCGGACAGCGTTGCTAGCAACACGGCGCCAGGCAACAATGGTGCCTATTACGTGGCTGTTTTCTGCGTTGTCCAGAACGAGGCTAGATATGGAGCAGCAAAGACTATTCACAGTTAGTTCTCGAATTATGAGTTCACAGTTCTCAAGTTACAAGTTAGCAGGGTCAACCTTTCAGTTGTAGTCTAGCATTTGCAGTCCAGTATTTGTGATACTGCCGATGGCAGTAATTGCCAGATTGTAAACTGTGTGATTGTAAGAGCGAGTGGAATAAATTCGCTATAACCAACAAGGCGTGAAGTTATTTGTCACGTTATACACACAACACGTGGCAATACAGTGTCTGTTAGTGTTCATTTTGTAACTAAGACACAAATCATGTATGTTGTATTTTAGCGTCCTGTTGCACTGATTCATATTCGTAATGTGTATGTATTAACAGTCTTCAAGTGCATACAACCCCATTTATCACTTCTACACTACAAGGTTCGGCAGTATGCTGCCATCTTCAGGTGTATCAATCCATCAACTATTTCACTACTTGCTTTTATATGTCCATTTACAAATGTTATTAAATTTGTATACGTCCTCATATAATAATAAAGTTTATGTATTTAAAACTTGTTAAAACCTATTATCTCATACGCCATATTTTAAATTCATGTGTATTATTGATCATTGACATGGGAGTCGTTCTTCTTATGCTTCTAATGTTGTGTTTATATTATGTCTTATGATGTGTTCTACTCTTGTGCGTTGTATTGTTGGATGATAAATGGGATTGTATGCACTTGAAGGCTGTTAATACATACACATTATGAATACAAATCATGTAACTGTCAAATGCTATAATTTTTCAAGGTGTCAATGGAACAAATTTACATGTATTGTTTAGTGGTAAACAAACTAATGACAAGTATGATGATCTGTTACAAACTGAAGAACATGAAAAGTCGAATATTTCTGAGGAAGTTTGTTTCTACATATAGAAACAACAGATGGATAGCAACATTGCTTAGTGCACAGATTTACTCTATCAAGTTTAGTATCTTAATACCTATTAATGGAGTCCATGTTTCCAGAATGTTTCAAATTACTGAGCTTAGTTATCTATGATGAAGTATATTTTTGGCAATTCTGCTATCAAATCTCAACAGGCTTAAGATAATAATAGATATTCAGGCAGATTTTATCAAAATAAGATACTAATAGCTACACTAAGAAATATTTATACCATTGTGCACAACTACGAAAGCATGGTTGACATCAGAGCGTTGGGGATGGGAATTGACTTCACTGGGAACACCATGTGTTGCCCAACGTGTATGTGCAATTCCAACATGACTATCAGTGGTGCCTTCAAAATCCAACTCATTTATCCCTGAAACAGAAAAGATTACGAAAATTCTTACATTTGTGAAGGAATTGCTGTACACTGATATTACAGGAAAACAAAATACAGAATGGGGCGCAGAAACTTCCTTTCTTCGAAGGCGAATAAAAGAAAAATTACTGCTGATAGACAAAATTTATGTTAAGCTAATGAAAGAACATACTTTAGAGTTTTAAATCATGTAATTTTAAACAAAATATCTTGAAGGTGGTGGTCACCATTCTCTATGCACTGATGCAACCGTTTTCTGAAGTTCCCATCTGCACGTTCAAACATGTGCACCGGAATTTGGGCTACTTCCTGCCGAATAACATTCTTCAGCTGAAGCAGGTTTGTGGGGCGATGTTTATGAACCTCTGCCTTGAGGTATCCCCATAAAAAAATCACAGGGCGTTAGATCAGGTTAGTGCGCTGCTCATGGGATGTCACCTCGAAGCAAGATGAGCCGTCCGGGGAACTTTGCCCTCAAAACTGTCATCGAAGCTTGGGCTGTGTGGGCCGTGGCACCATCCTGTTGGAACCAGACATTTCCTACATGCATTTCTTCAAGAGCTGGTTCGAAAAAGTTTTTAATCATGTCCACATACTGCTGTGAATTGACAGTAACTGCATTATTGTCTTCTTAAAAAAAAATAAGGGCCAATAACGCCAACTCTCGACAACGCACACCATACTGTCACCGTATCACTGTGAAGTGGCCTCTCATGAAGCTCTCTGGAATTGTTACACTCCAATAGCGCATATTCTGCTTGTTGACATATCTGGATATGTGAAAATGTGCCTCATCACTAAAGAAAACAAGTGCGTCAGGGGTAAAGTTTCCAATAACGTTTCGCACGCCGTTATTCGGTTCTGGAAATCATGTGGTGACAATTCTTGCACAACAACCATCTTATAGGGATGGAAATTAAGATGTTCGTGGAGAATTCGGCGCATTGAACGATTGGATATGTGTAGGGCGACTGCATGTTTGCGAGCGGAGCGTCTTGGAGATCTCAAAATCGACTGTCGAATTGCCTCCACATTTTCTGGCGTCGTAACGGTCCGTTGTCGTCCTGATGATTTTTTCGCCACACTCCCGGTTGTCCTAAAGTTATCTACCCACAAAACAATTGATTTCCGATTGGGAACCGGACCTCTGGACTTAATTCCGAAGTGAGTACGGAACGCACGCTGCTCACTCGCCCGCCTCATGTTTCCTACTATAGAAACTTCCGCGACTGCTGCGTTCGCCGAGCCTATCCCCACTTTTCTGCGACCTCCCCTCCCTTCACAATGCGTCTTCACAAAAATGAAGTTTCTGCGCCCCACCCTGTACATATATATAATTTTCAAATGATATTTAAATAGAAATTATAACAGCAATAGCTCTGTAATGTGTTACCATCCACTCAAACATTCTATTAGATAATTATCTTTAAAAAAACTGCACTCATAAATAGGGTCTCAAAAATTTATCCTCAGCAACTTTCAATCTGTATCTATGGTGGGAGACAAAAAAGTCACATTTATGAAGAGGGCTTCGGAATTTCCTGTAAGTCTCACAAGTAAAGAAATACAGAAACAGACATGACCACATTTTTCTGTCCCTGGCCGTAGATATTTTCTTATAAGTTCTTCTCTCATACTGGCAGGTAGCCATAAAAAATATTGCAATGGAAGGATTTAATACGGTATATAGTTTATATCATAAATATGTTTTCTTCCGGTCCAGAAAACGAGATTAACGGCCGTGGGGATCCGTTGCACTGACCACGTGACACCCTCTATTCGCAAAAGTTGGCATTAACTTCGCGGACAAACGGCGGTCGCTCAGTCGGTATAGTTCTCTTGTGGATAAAGGCCACGGAAGAAAGGAAAATAAATATGTTTTCTGTATGACGAATAAGTTTTCAGAATTTTGATACAATGCTAACTAGGAGTAGAAAATGCTGTAAACATGGATTCTTACAATTATGTTTATCTCAAGAAGTGAGATATCTGCAAAGAAGCAGCAGCTGTTACCGTTCTCATGATTCTGACATCTAGCCTTTAAAAATTCACAAAAAAATGCGGTATGATGTTTGAAATATACACATTAATTCTATAAAAGAAAATTTATTTTAAATTATCATTATTATGGTTGGATTTGTTTTGTAATTTATCAAAGTGGGGACGTTTTGAACTTACTTGAATTAATCTCGTCTTCCAAAACCTTCACTTTTCCCTTCTTCTTCACAATAGAAATGTCCTTTCCATCAGCAGCATCCAACGCCACTCCTGCAGAATCATAACCACGATATTCAAGTCTCTTCAGCCCATTGACGAGAAGCTCCAAAATCTCACGTCGGGTCTTTGGGGTAAGGTAGTTCAGGTATGCAAAGATTCCTGTAACATGAAATTAGTGCACTTTTATGTTAATTAGGTAAACAGGGCAGTACTACCTCACCTTCACATCTTTCAGTTTCATACCATCAACAGTCCCAGCATTGCAACTGTGAGAACTAGAGCCACTATTTTTGTGCCAGAACAGAATTACAAGATTTTATGTGGCAGAAAATATGAATATATGAAGATAATGCAATTTTTATTATGGAAATTGGGTTTTGTAATGCAATATACAACTTGAAAACCATGGAAAAGCTATTTTTAACTTTTGATAAGATTACAAAATATGAATCATTAGAGCTGGGTAGCGCAGATTAAATTTGGGGCATTAAGTGACTCTTGCATGTTGACCATCTTTGGTTTACTGTACGTGGAGATAGGTATCTGAAGATTTGTGTGGAAGTAAATCTTAGGCACATCTATAAATTCGATATACTGCTCTAAAATATGTTGATAATGGTGTTGTACAATTGTTAGAGTTATTTTCTTTGGACATTATTCATTGCTAGTGCTTTCGAAGTATAGCATTTCTAAGATTTGTTGTCTCAATATTCAGGTAAAACATAGAAAAGAGGAAGCAGTAAATGTCTATTTTTCAGGGAAGAAAGATAGTGCCGTTCTTTATTGCCGAATTTAATCGCCTGAATACTGGCATTTTCCCCGAAAATGTGATAATCCACTTCCCTCTCTGATTCTCTGTATTGTGCTACTCCATCTCCACACATGTACATTCACAGATTTGCCTTTTTTTTTAATTCGATTAGTGTGGGGTGGAGTCCACTCGGCACGGTGGCCACTGATTGGTCTATTGTACCCTGCCCCGCGTGATTATGATGGGGAATTTGGTGGAATGAAGATTGGCAGGGGAAACCGAAGTACTCGGGGAAAACCCGCCCCAGCGCCACTTTGTCCACCACAAATCTCACTTGACCAGACCCGGGATCGAACCCGGGCCGCCGCGGTGGGAAGTCAGCGACTAACCGCTTGAGCTATGGCGTGGCCTCAGATGTGTGAGATTTCAGAATGCGTTTTGTTCTAAATCACTTTTAGCTGCAGTCTATTCCCTAACTTTAAACTTAGTTTCCTGAAAATTGGCGTTGATGAACATAGTACACTTCAGTACTCAGATAAGGTTTTGTCAATGTCATATTAATATTGTACATGAAAGTGGGCACAATTATAGTAGAAAGGAGAAGCAGAGTTAATTTTGATCTCCTGGCGGTGGTTGTGTTGCTGTGGTTAGGAAATATGCTAGACATAATATTCCGTTCATGTACACCAACCGGAGACAGCATTCATCAGCTTGTTGAAGTCTGAACAAACATTAAATGAGTGTTATAAACATGCAAAGCGACATATCATTTCGCATAAAAAAGAACGTCACTAACAGCCAACAGCAACAGGGTCATGAACAATAAGTTCAGAAAAAGACATTCAAACAGATGTTTGTCAAACAGCGATATAAATAAATGTAAGTGTTGTAAGGATTTGTTCTTACTTCCATATAAAATGAATTTCCGTTAGCCGTTATTAGATGACGGAATAAAGCGAGGTTACCCTTTTTGAGGAGTTCGGGGCGCTAGATAAAGAAAGCCCAGACGTTTCGAATGCTCCGTGGTTCTCAGACGAGGCTCATTTCATATGCATAATGGTAACCTTTAAGAAATCCCATATTGCTGCTAACCTACCGCACCTACAGATAGCTACAGCGTGGCTTCAATTACCAAGTTCGGCATATTCGGTCCTGTTCATCGACAGTACGACCACTTTTAACGTTTACCTCAGCTGCTAGGTAGTGAATTCGTCCCTCTCCTGTACGGATACGGCTTGCAGCGAATATCCCCCGATATCAAATAGACGGCGCCAGACGTCATAGGACTAATGCCGTAGAAGAGAGAGCCTTGTCGAACTGGCATTGTTCTTTTAGAAATAATTATGGCGACCAGCAATTATGCCAGATCTAACCCTTGTGCATATTTTGTAAAGGGGTGGGGGTGTTTGCTTGAAGAAGTGTGTCAGGGAAATCTGCATCTATTCAAGGAACTAAATATTGTTATCGGTCAGATATTGAATGCATTGCTACAGCAACTCTGACCAAAAGTCTGCTACATTTAGCTGTTAGTGTGCATGAAGATCGTGATCTTCCAGGATGTAGAGTTGAAATTTAGTTTAAGAACCTATTTTCCCAAGGTCTGAACATTTCGTACTACTACGTTCATTGATAAGAAAGCACGACGTTGTAAAAATCAGGTTATAAAATAATTATTATCTACATACAGAGTGTTAAAAATGGTTAGAGATTTTAGGGGTGTACAGTACTCACTTAAATGAGCAAAAACGTCCCAGACAACACATGTCCAGAAACCAGTGCCTGCTGAGACATGGACAGTCCATGTCTGGGTCGGCATCTTAGGTGAACACTTCGTATGACCATTTGTTTACCTAACAGACTAACACGAGAAGAGTACCGTCGTTTTTCGGTAAATGATTCACTAGTACTTCTGGAACATGTGCCTCTTCATCAACGGCAACTCATGTGGTTCATGCATGATGAGGCACCAACACATTTCCTCCGCATTGTCAGGCAGCACCTGAATCAAACTTTCGGTGTGCAACGGATAGGACATGAAGGCCTGGTCAAGTGACATGCACGATCGCCTGACCTTAATCCTCTGGACTTTTGGTTGTGGGGACACCTAAAGATTCGGGTGAATTCAGTGCCGACAAACGACTTAGAGGCATTACAGCAAGGAGCAGAGTATGTATGCCAGGAGGTTCGAGTGAAACCAGAAATTTTCGACAGAGGAGCACCTCTGTATGATGAAGAGCTGAAAGTTATGTTGACATGCATGTGCTTTAGAGATCACAGGAACACTGCCAGCATCTCAGCAGGCACTGGTTTCCGGATATATGTTCATTGGGACGTCTTTCCTCATTTAAGTTAGTTCCATACCACATAGGGCCGCGCCATAGCTCAAGAGGTTAGTCGCCTTCCCACCGTGGCGGCCCGGGTTCGATCCCGGGCCTGGACAAGTGGGATTTGTGGTGGACAAAGTGGCGCTGGGGCAGGTTTTCTCCAAGTACTTCGGTTTCCCCTGCCAAATTGCTCCACAATCACCCTCATCTATCATCTGGGGCTGGTAAAATAGGTCAGAAGTGGCCCCAGTACAAGGGACTTAGGACAAGGACCTCAATAGCAATTAAAAAGAATAGTTCCATATCCCTTAAAGGTTGCAACCTTTTTTTTTCACTCTTCATATTACAACTAAGATTATGGATATCTGCAAAGCTTTTTATAAACATGAGGCCTTGTCAAGTGGAACTAAACATGGAATTGAAATAATAGAAATCCATACGCCCATCTTAGACTGCTATTGCCTGTATCGATGTCGGAAACCGCTACTGACTGCTCAGAGTAAAACTCAAGGTAAACTGGTGCATACTTTTCTTATTTTTCTGACCGACTTCACTCTCTAGAGATCATGTCAGGCTCTTATTTATTGTCTAGTACACTCATAACAAAAATTAATGGTACAAATTCATAATGAACTATCAAGACGTAGAGTATATTGTATGAATACGTTCTCAATGGGCTTACTCAGGCCTTCTTCTGACCATACGCCGCAACAGTATGACGTGTCGTACTTGAATTTTTAATAAAAATATTATATTTGTCTGAAGGCGATTTAGTTCCTTATTGCAACTGATTTTTGATCTTCATGTTTCTGAAATGATTGTGTCGTGTTGAATACTTTAAATACTCACATTATCGGTTCTTCCTGTGTCAAATCTAAGTATTTAAGAAAGACTGCCGGGTTTATTGATACGAGGTAAGTCCTGAAGCTTAGGCACGTTCAAAATGCCAACCTAGAGGGACGTTGGCAGTTACTCGGTATTTGCATTAATTCTTCAAGACGGCAATATATTACACCGGTTATTACTGACGTCTGAAAGGCTTCTAATTTGAACTAATTTTAGATTTACCGAAGAAGTAATGGAATTTATAAAAAGAATGCTGTTCAAGAGAAATACTCTTTACCTTTTAATTAGGAATAATCACTATCGCCATTACTTTTAAGAGTAACTAGTGGAATGCCCTTAAAAATCCAACGGCAAAATTAAAAATTTCCCACCATACTTAGACTAATCACATATCTATTTATCTACGGCTCTACTGTCCTTTGTTCGACCTTGGCGGCTTTTTCAGTTTCTTAATCTTACCTAGAGTCGGTAGGACTCCTTGGACGGGGGATCAGCCTGTCGCAAGGCCGCTACCTACACACAGAATAAACATAGACATCCATGCCTTGAGTAGGATTCGAACCCACGATCCTAGCGTTCCAGCGACCGAAGACAGTTCATGTCTTAGGTAGGCCGCACACCGGCATGCGTCAAGACATGTAACAGTCAAGAAAGGAACGATTATTATAAAAACAGCGGCACATCGGTCTGAGTCATGACGGGTGTGCGGCCACTGTGATCGGTACTAATCACATACAGATATGCCTAATGCATACAAGCAAAACACTTTGGTTGCAGTCAGTTCACAAAAATTTGGATGTCTGCAAATTTTAATCTATAAATGTTAGAAATTGAAATTAATATTTGCGATGAAGAACATTATGAAGCAGACTTTTGTTGCATTTCATTCTGTTATCAGACCGGTTACGTGGCGGGCCTTGCCAAGACACACACGTATGTCCTGTGCAGTGCTGTGTGCAAAGTTTGTCTTTTCTTTTACAGAAATCCTTCGCCAACAGCGATATTCACTCTTATATACATGGCGTTTAATTCGTGCAAGCACAGAATATTCAACGACTTCCGCACTATGTGGTCACATTTGCTGGGAACGTGGCACCCAAAACCAATTTTCTAGCGTCAATATTTCCACTTCGTTCCATAACTCCATTCCACACTTTTTAGTTTATTATTTGCACACACGTTAGTACTTTTTTAAGGAAGGAACAGGCAACATAGCCCGTGGTTCCCCTAACATCCTT